TTGTAAGTAGTGATGGGGAGCAGAAAGGGGGGTACGGGGGTTTGGGGGTAGCAGTATGGGGAAGCAATTTTGGGGGGTAGAAGTTGGGGGTAGCAAATAGTGGTTTGGGAAACAGTGGGTGGTAGCAATTAGTGGTACAGTAAAATGGTGGGTAGCATTAAAGGGGGGTAGCGGTAGTGGGGGTAGCAGTAGTGGGGTACGGTAGTGGTGGAAGCGTGTGGTGGTTTTTAGTTTGTGGTGGGGTAGCCGGGAGTGGTGGGGAGCAGTAGTGGGGGGTAGCGGTAGTGGTGGGGAGCAGAAATGGTGGGGCAGAAAAAGGGTTTGGGAGGCAATAGTTTGGGGTTTGCCATTTGGGGGTGGGGAAACGGTTTGTGGGGAAGCAGTGTGGTGGGACAGTAGTGGTGGTAGCGGTAGTTGGGGTTTTTCCCCGTAGTGGTGTTTTGCGAAATGGTGGTGCCCGTGTGGTGGTCCAGTAGTGGTGGTTTGCAGTAGTGGGTTGGGAGCAGTATTTGGGGGTACAGTAGTGGTGGTTTGCAGTAGTGGTGGGGGCATTTGTGGTGGTAGCAGTAGTGGTGGTAACGGTAGTCGTGGAAGCAGTAGTGGTGGGGAGCAGTAGTGGTGGTAGCGGGTAGTGGTGGTAAACAGTAGTTTTTTTGGGAGCGGTAGTTTGGGGGTAGCAAATAGTGGTTTGGGAGCAGTAGTTTTGGTAGCAGTAAATTTTGGTTTGGAAAACCCGGGAGTGGTGGAGCAGTAGTGGGGGGGGTAGCAGTATTGGTAGGCCCGTATTTGGGGTACAAAGGGGGTGGTAGCGGAAATGGGGGGGAAGCAGTAGGTGGGGGGCAGTAGTGGTGGTAGCGTAGTGGTTTGGGGCAGTAGTGGTGGAAACGGTATTGGTGGTAGCAGTATGGGGTAACAGTAGTGGTTTGGGACAGAAAATGGTGGTTGCAGTAGGGTGGTGCAGTAGTGGTGGACGTATTGGGGGTAGCAGTTAGTGGGGGTTTGCAGAAAAAGAGGTGCAGTAGGGATAGCCCGTAGTGGTGGAGAAGAGTGGGGGGGTTTGGGAGCGTTTGGGGGGGGGAAACAGGGGAGTGGATGTTTTAAAATGGGGGGTAAACAGTAGTGGGGTACAGAGTAGTGGGGGGTAGTAGTGGGTGGGGCCCGTAGTGGTGGGAGGAGTAGTGGGAGAGGGGAAATTGGGGGAAACCCGCAAATTTGGGGGTAGCAAAGTGTGGGTAGCAGTAGTTCTTGCAGCAAAAAGTAGTTTGGGGGTAGTAGGGGGGGTGGTTTGCAAAGTGGTGGTAGAAATTTGGGTTTTGGTAGCGTAGCGGTGGGTTTTTAGTAGTGGTGGTATAGTAGTAGTGGTCACGTAGGGTGGTAGGCGTATGGTTGGGAAAAAGTTGTATTTGGGACTAGTTCCCCCGTGGTTAAATAATAGTAGTAGTGGTAGCATATGGTGGTAGCAAATAGTGGTGAAAAAACAGTAGTGGTAGCAGTAGGGGGTTTTGGGAGCCGTAGTACTGTAACAACAGTAGTTGGTGGGGAGCATGGATGGGGGGGTAAGCTTAGGGGGGTGGGAGGGAGTTTGGGGGTGGAAAAATAATTTGGGGGTAAATAAATGGTGGTAGCAGTAGCGGTGGTTTAGCAGAGGTGGTATCAGTTTGTTGGGGGGGTAGCAGTAGTGGTGGTAAAAACAGTGGGTTTAAACCGTAGTGGGGTTTGTGTAGTTTGGTTTGGGAGTAGTAGGGTTTGGGGGTGGTTTGAAGTAGTGGGTTTTAGTAAGTTTGGGGTAGTATTTGGGGGTAGCAATTAGTGGGTGGAAATAGTGGTGGTAGCAGCAGTAGTGGTGGTGGTAAAAAGTAAATGGTGGGAGCAGTAGTGGTGGTGGTAACATTTGGGGTGAAAAGTAGTGGGGGTAGCAGTATGGGATTAACGCGTGGGGGGGTAGCAAACAGTGGGAGCCAAAAAAATTTTGGGGGTAACAGCAGTGGTGGTGGGGGCAGTGCGGGAGCAGTAGCGGTTTGGGAAGCACCAGGGGGGTGGTGGCGGGTAGTGCTAAATAAAACCCGTAGTGGTGGAGCCGGTGGTGGTTAAAAGTGGTGATGGTAGAAAAAGTGATTGGGAAAACAGTGGGGAAAAGGAAACAAATGGTGGTAGCAGGCTGACACTGTTCAGCTTGGGGTGAATGGCTCTGATTGAAATGACGCCCTTTACCGGAAAAAAAAGCTTTTTCTCAGTACGGAAACCCCCTTAAAAAAAATGGGCTACATTTAAAAAAGATAGTTTAAAAGTTACTAAGTGATCGAAAAATTTTCATTTAAATATTTACCCCCAAGCATGCAAAGGTCGATAGGGTTTTAAACCCAAAGGGAAATTTTTAAGGGGGGAAACAGGTAGGGGCCGCCTAGTTTCTGGGAAAGGGGTCTTTTAAAATACATATTAAAAAAAAGTTGGGGAATAGCCTACTGAAAAAACTTTAAGAAGCCTTTCCCAGCAGGGGGGGAAAGTTTCGCTCGTTCATTTTTGGGTTCTTTAGTCGAATTAAATGAAGCGAAAATTTAAAAATGGTTTTTAAGGGGGGGGGCATGGAGAGGTTTAGTTAGAGGTGTCCAGCCCCTCAGCCTTGAAAAGCATCAAGGTTTTAAAGGGATTTTTGCTGCCAGTCACAAAAATCTTGATTTGGGGAGACTGAGGGGCCAAAACTTCAAGATGCCTTCTTCAAAGACTGAGGGACCCCAACACCTGTAAATACCATATTTTAAACTATGTATGGATCCCACCACCTCCCAACATTCCTAAAAACCCTAACGACTCCAAAAAGAATTTTAAACCCCCAGCTGGGCCTAGTTTTCCTGTTCTCATCTCTCGAAAAAATATGTCTATTCCCCTGTCAATTTTTCTCAGTACCATTATATATATATATATAAAAAATATATATATATAATTTTAAAATAAAATATTATATATATAAAATTTTATATAAAATTATTTATAATACCCAAAATGGGTTGATGAATGTATCACATTTAAAACGACAACAAGCGCTGAAAAACTCCCATTACTTTCTCTAGGTTGCATCAACAATGAGAGACTGTGATCTAGCACACCTCAGACACGGGTGTTGCGGGGCACAGCACCTAGGAACCTCACACAAGGTCACATCTTTACTGTCTACTACACACGCTGAAACCAGGGTATTTTTTTTATAACGACACACCTGTCATTTCTGGCATAATAATAATAATAATAATAATAATAATAATAATAATAATAATAATAATATTAATAATAATAATAATAATAAATCTTTATTTCTACGAGTACATGTACAACTTATACAGACCATAGCTAACATCAATGACATACTACATAGAAAGTCCCTGATTATGCAGAACTTCGGGTGCATTAATTCATTTCGTCCCCAGGATGCGACCCCTCCCCCCAGTCGACTAACACTCAGGTACCTACTTACCGCTAAGTGAACAGGGACAGGTGTCCTAAGAAAACACATCCCAATGTTACCACCTGTATTATGGACATCAATGATCCTAGAGAAAGCAGTTTCCTCATTCAGAACTTCAGTATTGCCATGCAGAAAGGTAACGCCCTAATGTAATAGTTCCGGAAGCAGAGAAATAAACATGATAATTACTCAAACAAAATAAAAACGTGTAAATCATTAAATCCATTTGGTCCACGGATATAGCATCCCTTCCAGAAGACTGCTTTGACGTTGGTGAAGGGCTCTTGGAAAATGTATCTAGTGAGGTTCACTCTCCAGCTGGGCTGTGGAACCTCCATCACCCTCCCCAGAGTGATCCTAGTCAGGTTCACTCTCGCAGCTGGGCTGTGGAACCTACATTACCCTCCTCAGAGTGAACCTAGTCAGGTTCACTCTCGCAGCTGGGCTGTGGAACCTCCATCACCCTCCTCAGAGTGAACCTAGTCAGGTTCACTCTCGCAGCTGGGCTGTGGAACCTACATCACCCTCCTCAGAGTGAACCTAGTCAGGTTCACTCTCGCAGCTGGGCTGTGGAACCTACATCACCCTCCTCAGAGTGAACCTAGTCAGGTTCACTCTCGCAGCTGGGCTGTGGAACCTACATCACCCTCCTCAGAGTGAACCTAGTCAGGTTCACTCTCGCAGCTGGGCTGTGAACCTCCATCACCCTCCTCAGAGTGAACCTAGTCAGGTTCACTCTCGCAGCTGGGCTGTGGAACCTCCATCACCCTCCTCAGAGTGAACCTAGTCAGGTTCACTCTCGCAGCTGGGCTGTGGAACCTCCATCACCCTCCTCAGAGTGAACCTAGTCAGGTTCACTCTCGCAGCTGGGCTGTGGAACCTCCATCACCCTCCCCAGAGTGAACCTAGTCAGGTTCACTCTCGCAGCTGGACTGTGGAACCTCCATCACCCTCCCAGAGTGAACCTAGTCAGGTTCACTCTCGCAGCTGGACTGTGGAACCTCCATCACCCTCCCCAAGTGAACCTAGTCAGGTTCACTCTCGCAGCTGGACTGTGGAACCTCCATCACCCTCCCCAGAGTGAACCTAGTCAGGTTCACTCTCGCAGCTGGACTGTGGAACCTCCATCACCCTCCCCAGAGTGAACCTAGTCAGGTTCACTCTCGCAGCTGGACTGTGGAACCTCCATCACCCTCCTCAGAGTGAACCTAGTCAAGTTCACTCTTATCGCCTGCTCCATGCTGGTGATAACTTCGTCCCGTAAACACTGAACTAAACCACCGAGAAACATTAATTAAACACGTAAACCTGCGTGTGTGTGTGTGTACTTACCTATTTGTATTTGTAGGGGGTCAAGTCATAGCTCCTGGTCCCCGTCTCTTCACTATGTATGTACTCACCTGTGTGTGGTTGCAGGGGTCGATTCACAGCCCCCTGATATATATATAATATATATATAAATATATATATATAAATATATATATATAATATATTATAATATATATATATAATATAATATATATATATATATAAAACTTACCGGTAGCAAGGGCCGGCTTGCAGCACCATGAATCACCATAAGAGGCTGGAGCCTGGTATAATATTAGGTCAGCACTGTGATGGTGTCAAGGTTGTGGTCTGAGCCTCTTCATGAGGGACTCACAGCCTATCCCAGAGAAAAAAATAGGTCAGAAATAGCTTGAATCATATGTTAGGCTTTCTCTACTTCGTGTACGATTTCTTATATTACTGAGCACCTTGGATTGACTTAGTTTTCAACTAGGTTATGTGTGTGTCAGAGGCTGCGAAGTAACGTCATTTTGTATGTGTTTTTAATTTAGAAAGGGCACACTGGAGCGGCAGCAACCTCCCTCTCCCACTGACGAAGCGATACTGACTGCAGGATACACTTGGCTGGTGTTATTGACCTTACTACCAACACCAGACTTAACACCACGTTTATTAATTACTAAGTCAACCAGCTTGCCACAGCACTAAATATACCTCACAAACATTACTTTTCTAAAGCTCTCCATCCCCAAGGGATTCTGTCTATAAGGGTTTGGTTTAAGAGGAAGGAAAGGGGAATATCAGTAATGGACTTTCACAGTGTAGAGAGCTGAGGAAGTAACGAACACACTTTCCCGCGCTGCTCTTCCTCGAAGCTCCGCCCATAAATACCGCTACAACAGCCTTGCCACACACTTCCATATCATCCATATTTAAGAATTATTTATAATTCTCTCTTTTGGTACATTGCATCGTAAGACGTCACGTTCGCTGTTAGGGCCATTATACTCCTGGTTTATTTTGCAATATGGACGATAATCTTTGATTAGGGCTATATAAATCAAGGGAAAATTAATGAGGGTTGAGGTAGATGGCATGGGGTGTTAAGCTGCAATCTGGCACCTGATTGGTCTTTGACGAGGCTCAGAAGTAGGTCAACCGTGACGTCACTTGGCGGGAACCTTGAACTTGGCGGGAGACTTGAACTTGGCAGTAGGGAGTGATCTTATTTAATAAAAAATACAAAAATACAGGAATCAGATCAGCCGATTATGCTAGTTAGCGTAAAGAAAACGTATTCACACACATTTTGAGTGGCAAATAGCTAACAATTCTGCCCATGTAAATCTCTGAGACGTATCTAGGGCAAGAACACTTCTTCAAATACCTTCGTCTTGATTCAGAAATAATCAAGTAAGTGAAAGGTAAATTGGAAATTTCTTTTGATAGGGACACATAGATAATTAAACACCCCCAATGAATATCTTTCTGCGAATATTTCCAAGTATTCCTACTGAAGGAGCTTATTCTTAATAAATATTCCTGGTTGATCTCAAAGGTAATCAATGGCTCACCCAAAAGAAAAAAATCATCAAATATTCTACTCGTTTATAAGTAAAAACAACTTTCTCCACTGAAATGTCTGTCAGCTCTTTCCACTATGACTGTCAGTGCACTTTCTGCCTAAGATATTTACCAGTGAAAAATGATACATATTCTTGGTAAAGGTATATTGCAATATTCCTCGGTGTATTTACAAGGATAAATTCCTCTTAGTGTGTGTACACTGGAAGATACCTCACAGTGTATATACACTGGAAGATACCTCACAGTGTATATACACTGGAAGATACCTCACAGTGTATATACACTGGAAGATACCTCACAGTGTATATACAATAAGAGATGCCCATTGGTATATATACACTGAAATACACTTCTCGGTATACACTTCCCTAGACCCAGTAGTCGTGGAATCACCAGTGATATACATACCTCTTCAAATACATGTATCAGGCTGCAGCGGGCGTAGGGCATGTCTGATGCAGTCCATTAGGGTATGTCTGATGCAGTCCATCAGGGTATGTCTGATGCAGTCCATCAGGGTATGTCTGATGTAGTCCATTAGGGTATGTCTGATGCAGTCCATCAGGGTATGTCTGATGCAGTCCATCAGGGTATGTCTGATGCAGTCCATCAGGTATGACTGATGCAGTCCATCAGGGTATGTCTGATGCAGTCCATCAGGGTAAAGTCTGATGCAGTCCATCAGGGTATGTCTGATGCAGTCCATCAGGGTATGTCTGATGCAGTCCATTAGGGTATGTCTGATGCAGTCCATTAGGGTATGTCTGATGCAGTCCATCAGGGTATGTCTGATGCAGTCCATCAGGGTATGTCTGATGCAGTCCATCAGGGTATGTCTGATGCAGTCCATCAGGGTATGTCTGATGCAGTCCATCAGGGTATGTCTGATGCAGTCCATCAGGGTATGTCTGATTTCAGTCCATCAGGGTATGTCTGATGCAGTCCATCAGGGTATGTCTGATGCAGTCCATCAGGGTATGTCTGATGCAGTCCATCAGGGTATGTCTGATGCAGTCCATCAGGGTATGTCTGATGCAGTCCATCAGGGTATGTCTGATGCAGTCCATCAGGGTATGTCTGATGCAGTCCATGGCATTAACTGATTCATTCCTCACTCAACATAGAAATTCACTGGTTTATTTAGTCTTCCCCCAAATCTCTCTCAACCTTAAAATACAAAAAGGGTAAAGTTTACGAGGAACGTTCATAAATTGACTTAAGGAAATTGCGTATAAAAATAATACCGTAAAATGGGCATAGGCTGATAGATTGAGTGGTTAATAAGTTGATAGGTTAGTAGGTCGATAGATTAATTGGTTGAAAGAATACCTGGTAGATAGATTAATTGGGTGATAAGATTAATTGCTTAATAGATTGATAGGCTGATAGAATGAGAGATTAATAGATCGATACGTTAACATACTGATAGATTAATAGGTTGGGAGATTATTAGGCTGACAGATTAATAGGTTGATAGGGTAATAGGCTGATAGAGTAATAAATTGATAGACTAATAGATTGATATATTACTGGGTTGATAGATTAATAGATTGATAGATTACTAGATTGATAAATTAATAGGTTGCTAGATGACTAGGATGATAGATTACTAGGTTGATAGATTAATAGATTACTAGTTGATATATTAATAGGCTGATAGATTAATAGGTGTCCCGTAGCTCGATTGTTAGCGCACTCGCCTCACACACTGAGGTCCGGAGATCGAATCCCAGGTACACCTGGGAAACATTGGGACGTGTTTCCTTATGATACGTGCTGTCCATGTTCACCCACCAGTATAATGGGTACCTGGGTGTTAGTGATAAGATGATATTTCGTTCGGATTTTTAACCCCGGAGGGTTAGCCACCCAGGATAACCCAAGAAAGTCAGTGCGTCATCGAGGACTGTCTAACTTATTTCCATTGGGGTCCTTAATCTTGTCCCGCAGGATGCGACCCACACCAGTCGACTAACACCCAGGTACCTATTTACTGCTAGGTGAACAGGACAATAGGTGTAAGGAAACGTGTCGAAATGTTTTCACCCGCCGGGAATCGAACCCGGGCCCTCCGTGTGTGAAGCGGGAGCTTTAGCCACCGGGCTGGGTGTTAGTGGACAGGTGTAGGTCGCTTCCTGGGTATTAGTAGACTGGTGTGGGTCGCATCCTGGGATAAAACTAGCCTAATTTACCCGAAATGTTCAGCATAACAAGTGGCTTTCTATATAGTAGTATGTCAGTGATGTCAGCTATGGTCTGTATACCTTGTACATGTACTGGTAGTAAATAAAGATATTAACTAATAATTTTACCAGATTTATAAATGGCCAGGCGACGGCGATGTGATCTCAACCAGGAGGAGTTTTCTGAGTATTTTGTTGTAACCTACTGACACAAAGTAACTTGTGCAGTACTTCTATAAGAACGTATTGGTTATGAGATGAACCGATCCTGGCAATTGACTGCACGAGACTTTACACTGTTAATATAACTTTCCAATTGGTAAGCCGGACCGAAATGTCGTAAGTTCTCTCCTGGTGAGTTGGTATTTTGTGTATACCTATGAAATGGTCTTGCATGCCGTGTGGAGAGTGATACTCGCTTGCTTCCTAAGGAATCGAAGATTACTCGTCATTTTGGTTTCATGCGCTACAGTATGCCCTTAAAGTAACCAACAATCAACAACAATCAACAACATACAACACAAAACAACAACAACAACAACAACACAACAACTAACACAACACACACAATATAAACAACACACAACATCACAACAACAACAACGACGAATCCAACAACTACTCAACCAACAAGAACAAAAACCAACAACAGACACAACAACAAAGCACAATAACAACAACAACAACAACAAACAACAACAACAACAACAACAACAACAACAACAACAACAACAACAACAACAACAACAACAACAACAACAACATTGGTTGACCCTTGCACCACAAATAGGTGAGTACACACAGAGTCATTTACCGGCAGACACAAAGAGTCGGGCCACTAACTGAAGCTCCGACTTCCTGGTGGTGGAACGGACGGAGCTCGGATCCATTATGTCATCTTGGGCGTTATCAAAGGAAAATGGTCTAATTGGTTATACCGGTGATGTGCGTCCCCTTAGCGGGGAGGCAACTTTCTAGGACCCTGCCTACCATCACCCTCCCCAGGCTGCACACCTTACCAAGATGAACCATAATAGGTGGACCACATTAAGATGACCACACTAAGGTGGGCCTCACTAAAATGGACCACACTAAGGTTAGCCACACTAAGGTGAACCACACTAGGTGGACCATATTAAAATGGACGAAACTAAGATGGACCACACTAAGGTGGGCCGTATTAAAATGGACGAAACTAAGATGGACCACACTAAGGTGAACCACACTAGGTGGACACACCAAGATGGACCAAGCTAAGATAATAATAATATTTTTATTTCTACAAGTACATGTACAAGGTATACAGGCTGTGGAAAATTGCAGTTATCTGTATGTAACTCATAATGTACATATCAGTAAATAACAAAGATAATTATTATTTATCAGAGTTACATATACAAGTAGGAATTTGGGACACCTAGGTCACAAAAAATGTCCCCCTTCGATACCTACCACTGTCATATCCACAAGTTGCTCTAGACCTATTAATTACCAATGAAATATACATCACCAGGAATTCTGGTAAATATATAAATTTGTGGACTGTATATTAAAATTAATAAACAATTATATATATACAATTTACATAACAGAAGGAGAATATATTAATATCGCTCACCAATTTGACTGGAGATTAAGGTGTATCATACTCAGAAAACTTCACTGTCTATCTATGAAAATAACACTGGCCAGAGTTACAAACGTAAACAAACTTATCTGAGGTTCCTAGAGCTGTCTTGTCCAGTCGCCTGATATCTCAAGTTATGCAGGAATGCACATCCAACAATTTCGGCTCCTATTTGAGAGGTGTCAGCCCAATTTTACCTCTAGAGCACGAAAATTCTTCCCAATATTCACTAACGTTTGTTACTCAATTCAAACAACAATGGCGAGTCTCTCTGTACAGGCGCAGTTTCATTTTTTATAACAAATTTTTATTAAATACAGTATGGCCATCTATTTACATATAACTACTGTATTTCTGGAAAATATATACAGTATTTTCCACACAGGCCATAGCTGACATCAGTGACATACTACTGTATAGAAAGATGCTTGTTATGCTGAGCATTTCGGGCAAATTAGGTCAGTTTTGTCCCAGGATGCGACCCCACACCAGTCCACTAACACCCAGGTACCTATTTTACTGATGACTGAACATAGACAACCGGTGTAAGGAAACACGTCCAATGTTTCTACCCTCTCAGGAAATCGAACCCAGGATCTCGCCGTGTGAAGCGAGAGCTTTAGCCACCAGGCCACGAGATCACACTAAGGTAGACCACACTAAGATGGACCACACAAAGGTGGACCACACTAAATTGGACCACACTAAGGTGGACAACATTAAGATGGACCACTCTGATGAACCTAATTTACCCTAAATGCTCTGCATAATAAGTAGCTTTCTATATATCAGTGTGTCAGTGATGTCAGTAATGATCTGTATACCTTGTTCATGTACTTGTATAAATAAAGATATTATATTATTATATATTTAAACCATCAGCCGAAGCCGTATTGGCCCTTAAACGTACGGTCATGCGTGTTACGGTCCTCGACAACCCTTCAACCCAACAATAACAGAGTGGCAGCCGCTGCTACTCGAGGATCATTAAGATTGTAATTTCTTCCTCCACGGTCAGTGCCTTGATGCCACTGAAGAGCTCGTAATCCGAGGAGCTGGAGCAGCCACATCTTCTCATACACTCCACTTGCTTAGAATTAGAATTACCTACCATTTCCTAGACGCTGCCCAGCCTCCACCATGCCGGTGAGGGGCTCTTGATGCGAGGATTTTGATCCGTTTCTCTCCCTTCGATCGAACCTGATTGCTTCCCACTTTCCCATACGGGTTTAGCTCTTTCCCCTAGATCACAGAGTAACGCTGTGTGGCCCCTCTAACCTTCCAAGGGATTGCCTTGATGCCAGTGAGGACTCTTAATCCAAGGAATTAGATGTGTCCTCCCCTTCCTCGGATCAAAGTTGATTGCCTCCCATTCTCCAAGTGTTGTATGACCCTATGAGTTTAGGGCTTCTAAATGTAATAATACTGTAATAATAACAGTAATGTAATAATAATAGTACTGTAATATAATGAAAATGTAATAATAACAATGGTAATGTATTAATAATAATAATCATAATGATAAAAGTTATGTTAGTTTTCTTATAAGGCTGCTCTATACAATGCAGTTTTTCCTACACCAGGAGGCCTGGTCACAGACCGGGCCATGGGGGCGTTGACCCCCAGAACTCTCTCCAGGTAAACTCCAGGTAAACACACAGTTGAAAGGTGCGTGGAAAATTGGGCGGAGCGTAATACAATTGCTTTTCCAGACGCTGTTCAATTTTCAATGTACTTATTCAGTCGCATTTATGAAAAAATGCACTATGTAGAGGAGGTCTATAAGACAGTTTTATGACCCTTGTGGGTTTAGTGCTTAGATATGATAATAATATTCATACTCATAAAAATAAAAATAATAATAATAATAATAATAATAATAATAATAATAATATATGAGAGCTGATTCTGTAAGCTATTTTTGCAAATACGTACATAGTTGAAAAAGTGCATCTGTTGCACCGGTTCACTCGCATGTACAACAGCTTACACCGCAGATGAGGTTCATAGCTGACTAAGTTAATTTTCCAGGAGTCGGCATTGAGCGGAGACGCATTTCGGCCATGAAGTTTGCAATTGAGTACATCAGCAAGGGAGGCGGTCGCATCGGGAGGCTGACGGGCTTGCAGAGTCAGCCTGGGGCTGTTCACGAAACACCCATGGTGCTGGTTTCAACGGTGGGAGGCAGTGCTCCTCATCTTACCCAGGTCACTGCAACCTTAATCTGCGACCACTCGTATATGAACACAGAAATTAAAACCTTAAATCAGGCCTTGAAAGTCATATCAAAGCTATTATAATAATAATAATAATAATAATAGTAAAAACTATAATAAAATTAATGATGGTGTAATAATAATAATAAATCATAAAATTCATAATGTAATAATAATAATAATAATAATAATATTAGTGTAATCGTATATATTTTTTATACAAGTCATTGTACAAAAATATACATTAATTTGAGAAGCCATAGTATGCACATTTTAGTCAAACTTATATATAATAAAACTTACACCATTCATTATTAAAAATTTGAAAATTAAGACTGTAGACTTTACCTGATGAAGGGCTCTAGATCCAAGATGTCAGAGCTACCCTCCCATTTCTTGGATCAAATCTGACTATCCCCCAACCCCTACCATTCCACAGGTGCTGTATGGTCTGTCTTTCACTTTATTATACAGTACACTAGTGTAATATCGGATAAAGTCTATTGGTTGTAGAATTTATCTATTGTTATTACAATCACAGCATTGAAAATGTCATTACTGTGCACCAACATGCTATGACTACTTCCCCTCTGTGAGTCCCTCCCTCTGACCGCCCATCCCTCCCTCCCACCATCCCTCCATCCCTCCCTCCCTCTGTCTGTTCCTCTGTCCATCCCTCTGTCCATCCTTCTGTCCATCCCTCCCTCCGTCCATCCCTCCCTCCGTCCATCCCTCCCTCCGTCCATCCCTCCCTCCCTCCCTCCCTCCCTCCCTCCCTCCCTTCCTCCATCCTTCCCTCCCTCTGTCCATTCCTCTGTCCCTCCCTCTGTCCCTCCCTCCCACTGTCCATCCCTCCATCCCTCACTCTCTCCCTCTGTTAGTCTTTTAAGCTGAGGGTCGATCACTCTTTTACCTTGAAATAAAACATTCTGTTGTGCGACTCTCCAGGATGTTCTTCATCTTGTGGTGGACAAGGATGCACCACTACATGTACCGGCTCAGCATTTTTGTGACCACGTTCAGGTGCTTCAGAATTACAAGAAAGGAGTTGCACACTTCTCTGCACTTCAGGTAAGTGTTTAAAATGGAGTGGAGGCAAATTCTTTACCACTGAAGTTATCTTGTCATGATACCCGGGGACTGGAAGCTTAATGCTAATAAAAAATTAATACATCTGATTATTTTTAGGGGTTGAAGGTCACAGGAATATTTTATTGACCTAAGTGTGATATTTTACTTGAGAGCCCCTCAAGGGAGGTTCCTTGATGCTGATGTGCTCCAGTTCCCTTAATTAAGCCCAAATACCTTCCACATCTCCCCCACAGGTGCTGTATAATCCTGTGGGTTTAGTGCTTCCCCCTTGATTATAAGAATAATTCACTTGAAAAGAAGAACAAAAAGGCACAGTACTATGTCTGGAACAATAAACAAATAACCCGCACATAGGAGAAAGAAGCTTCTCTCTCCTACGTGCAGGTTATTTGTGTATTTTACCCGAAACTTGCTCTACATGAAGAATAAAAGTCGCATTACAATTTGTAGAGGAAAACTTAGACAGTCTGACCTGCATTAGAACAGACAGAGATGTTTTCTTGGTTTCCTCTCTCAATTATGGGATAGATGTGAATTCTTATTGTGCATGTAAATAAAATAATATATAAATAAAATATTTATTTATATTATTCATACATAGAAGTTACAGAAGTTAGAGTTATATTTCATTTGGTTACAGTTTTGATACAATTATAATAAAAATACAATATGATAAAAATACAGTAGAAAGGTATTTATTATGTGAAGCAATCAATGATAAATTTTGATTTAATGGACTAATAAGGGGAAACAGGTGGCTGGTGATTGTGGTGGAAAAAGATGAGATTATTTTGTCATGACAATAATGGATAGTTCTTTAACTGAGGGATTTTGTTCATTATTTCTGAATTGACTCATTGGATTTTGTTCCTTATAACCAAAGTCCATAAAATCACTGGTTTACCGTGGTGTAGTTATACGTAAATTGTGAGAGTATAATCTCAGTAAAATCTGCTTATCATTTTCCTTTTTTTTTTTATTTCTTGAGGGTCACAGTGTGTGCGTAAGTGTTCAAGATGCAGCCAAAGCAACACCTCAAGGATACAATCATAAAAAAGGTGTGTCTCTGTGGACATATGGTGGCAGACAGATCATCACGGCTGACAAGTGAGTTGCTGTCTTAATTTAAAAGTATATTACAAAAACACTAGTTGGCTTTATACTAGTGCAGTAATATGAGAGTTTGGGATACTGAATAAACATAAAACAATTTATCATTTTTACTATCATATAAAAGCAATCTTTGGTCTATAGGTATTCTGTAATAAATAATCTTTAATATATTAACATCTGATAAAAACCTATTATCTTTGGTACATATACGTATATACATGCTGCAATAATAAATTATAATTAACATCTTTGTACAAATATATATATATTAATAATTCTTAAAAAATAAATTATAATCAACTCATGACCCTACCACACAGGGGTACAACGTTCTTGACACTACTGTGTCACACTCAGTCGTACAACACTAGTTACATGGAGTTATACTACACTCCTTTCTCAATATTATAACACTTTCTCTACCATGTCACACGACACCCTTGTCTGTGTTATGACGCTCTTTCTCTCTGTGTCACACGACACCCTTGTCCTTGTTATGACGTTCCTTCTCTCCGTGTCACACGACACACTTATCTCTGTGTCACACGACACTCCTTCTCTACCATGTCCACATGACACCCTTGTCTCTGCGTCACACACACCATCTCTACTGTGTCCACTTGACACCCTTGTCTCTGCATCACACACACCATCTCTACTGTGTTATAACACTCTTTCTCGGCTGTGTCACCCGCATAGCGTCTTTCTCTTCAGAAGACAACCAAACACTATACTCCCTTAGATCAGCAGGAGGCCAGCAAAGTTCGCCAAGGCCTGCAGGTCGAAGTCCGCAAAACTGGCCAGTAAAACTACAACCAAAGGCCCACAGGTAACCAAATCCTGAGGCCCACAATAACTAAAGCCAGCAGACTAAGCGAAGCCCTCAGGTAACTGAAGTCCGCAGGAATCCGAGTGACAAGTAACTGCAGCCAGAAGACCCGCAGTTGACTGAAGTCAGCAGTGAGTCCTTAGACATCACTTTCAAATGTACTCCATGAGGTAGTTTGGTGAATACTCTCTACAAGGCCAGTAGATGTATACTGTAAGATGGTCTGGTTGATACTCTCTACTGCCAGTAGATGTATACTGTAAGGTGGTCAGGTGAATACTGCTTCTAAGACCAGTAGATATACACCATAAGGTGGTCAGGTGAATACTTTCTACTACCAGTAGATGTATACCGTAAGGTGGTCTGGTAAATACTGTTTCTAAGGCCGGCTCAGCAGTCCCCACATTGGGTTTGATGACGTACCCAGTTGTACTGCAGGCCGGCAGGTTAACAATCTAACCACTAGTTTGGCAGGAGGCCGCCACAAAAAGGAATTTCGTTAATGTTTGAGTGTGTAATAACATTATTTAAACAGACTATTAGAAAATAACTAGTGACCCCTTCTCCTGTATATGTTACTAAATTTAAGAAGAGAAACTTTTCTTTTTCTTTTTGGGTCACCCTGTCTCAGTGGGATACGGCCGGTGTTGAAAGAAGATTAGAAAAATTTTGTGTATACTTATCCATCGAAATTTGTCGTAATTGTGGATATAAGAACATAAGAAAGGAGGAACACTGCAGCAGGTCTACTGGTCCATATTTGGCAAGTCCTTGTCAAACCCAAACCCACTAAAAAATATTCACAAACCCCTTATCAGTGTTACCCATGGAATAAGCTTTGATAACGCTGTTAACTCAAGTGCAAGTCTCGCTCAAATCCCTCTCACTCACTGTCTTTCCAATAGGTACATGGACTTGATGGAGGCTATGCAGCCAGACTGGTATGAGGCCCTGAATGATGCTGATCCAGGGATAGGTTCATCTAAGAAGAGAATATTAAATTCCACAACTTCATCAATGGAATACCTAAAGCAGTGCATAACACTGCACAAAGCTTCCCAGGTACTGATGTGTTGTCTTCTTGCTTATAGAGCTTAATCATGTTTGCTCAGATTTTTTGGATATGTTAGCAGAAGGGTGAGTTTATTTATATAAACTTCCTCTTTTTTTTTTTTTCAACAAGCTGCCCGTATCCCATCAAGGCAGGGTGACCTAAAAGGAAAAATGAAAGTTTTCCTTTTTAAATATTGTAATTGATACAGGAGAAGGGGTTACTAGCCCCTTGCTTCTGGCATTTTAGTCACCTCTTATGACACACATGACTTACAGAGGAACTATTCTTCTCCACTTCCCCACGGCGGATGAACATAGTACACAATAATAACAATAATCTCGTTCAATACACTTCACAGCTTTCAACAACTTCACTGCTGCTCATTGTATTTGCAGCATTGCTCTTCAGTTTACCCTGTCTTATCTCTCCTGAATATATAAGTTCCTCACACATTTTTCCCTATAATGTATAAAATCATACTCCAAGACTCAAGAATCTCAATGGAAATAAATCACTTTGACTTTATATAATTTTTTTTTTTTTTTTTTTAACAAGTCGGCCGTTTCCCACCGAGGCAGGGTGACCCAAAAAAAAGAAAGAAAATCCCCAAAAAGAAAATACTTTCATCATCATTCAACACTTTCACCACACTCACACATTATCACTGCTTTTGCAGAGGTGCTCAGAATACAACAGTTTAGAAGCATATACGTATAAAGATACACAACATATCCCTCCAAACTGCCAATATCCCAAACCCCTCCTTTAAAGTGCAGGCATTGTACTTCCCATTTCCAGGACTCGTCAGGTCCCAAGTATCATTCGTCTCCATTCACTCCTATCTAACACGCTCATACAAATACTATTTTTATTTCAACATGATAAATTGTTTACGTAGAAATGAGGGACACTTAAGTGCATGTTGAAAGCTCATAGCTCTGCAAAGCATTTCTATCAAGCTTAAGGCTAACTTAAGACTACAATGGTAATAATTGTTATTTGCTTATATATAAGGATATTGAAGATGCACAAACAAATTTAGGCTTTACAAATAGTGCAACAAGCAGACGATTGTTTCTTTAAGGTTGAATTATGATAATCTACACATAAGTTAAACTGTGTATGATAATTGTACTTGTGTGTACCTGTACCTAAATAAATTTACTAACACAGGAAGTATAAATTCATTTATTCATAATGAAAATTTTTGTTTAAAATCAATAATTTTTAATTTTTCACAGAAACTAAAGGGATCAGCATTATTTGCGCCTCTGCTAGGCGGTCGGAGTGAGAAAGCTAGAAATGGCTGGTCTAAATCTTTGATGAGCACTACAGTGGATAAGTCTGCTATATCAGGTTACACAATTGTTGGTCTTCACACTAATGGACCTGAAGTGGAGGACCTTCAACCTGTGAATGTTTCTAACATTGTTAAGGCATCTTTGGTGAGTAAATTTTTTTTTTTTATTAGCACACTGGCCGATTCCCACCAAGGCAGGGTGGCCCGAAAAAGAAAAACTTTCACCATCATTCACTCCATCACTGTCTTGCCAGAAGGGTGCTTTACACTACAGTTTTTAAACTGCAACATTAACACCCCTCCTTCAGAGTGCAGGCACTGTACTTCCCATCTCCAGGACTCAAGTCCGGCCTGCCGGTTTCCCTGAATCCCTTCATAAGTGTTACTTTGCTCACACTCCAACAGCACGTCAAGTATTAAAAACCATTTGTCTCCATTCACTCCTATCAAACACGCTCATGCATGACGCTGGAAGTCCAAGCCCCTCGCACACAAAACCTTCTTTACCTCCTCCCTCCAACCTTTCCTAGGCCGACCCCTACCCACCTTCCTTCCACTACAGACTAATATACTCTTGAAGTCATTCTGTTTCGCTCCATTCTCTCTACATGTCTGAACCACCTCAACAACCCTTCCTCAGCCCTCTGGACAACAGTTTTGGCAATCCCGCACCTCCTCCTAACTTCCAAACTACGAATTCTCTGCATTATATTCACACCACACATTGCCCTCAGACATGACATCTCCACTGCCTCCAGCCTTCTCCTCGCTGCAACATTCATCACCCATACTTCACACCCATATAAGAGCGTTGGTAAAGCTATACTCTCATGCATTCCCCTCTTTGCCTCTAAGGACAAAGTTCTTTGTCTCCACAGACTCCTAAGTGCACCGCTCACCCTTTTCCCCTCATCAGTTCTATGATTCACCTCATCTTTCATAGACCCATCCGCTGACACGTCCACTCCCAAATATCTGAATACATTCACCTACATACTCTCTCCCTTAAATCTGATATCCAATCTTTCATCACCTAATCTTTTTGTTATCCTCATTACCTTACTCTTTCCTGTATTCACTTTTAATTTTCTTCTTTTGCATACCCTACCAAATTCATCCACCAATCTCTGCAACTTCTCTTCAGAATTTTCCAAGAGCACAGTGTCATCAGCAAAGAGCAACTGTGACAACTCCCACTTTGTGTGTGATTCTTTATCTTTTAACTCCACGTCTCTTGCCAAGACCCTCGCATTTACTTCTCTTACAACCCCATCTATAAATATATTAAACAACCACGGTGACATCACACATCCTTGTCTAAGGCCTACTTTTACTGGGAAATAATTTCCCTCTTTCCTACATACTCTAACTTGAGCCTCACTATCCTCGTAAAAACTCTTCACTGCTTTCAGTAACCTACCTCCTATACCATACACCTGCAACATCTGCCACATTGCCCCCCTATCCACCCTGTCATACGCCTTTTCCAAATCCATAAATGCCACAAAGACCTCTTTAGCCTTATCTAAATACTGTTCACTTATATGTTTCACTGTAAACACCTGATCCACACACCACCTACCTTTCCTAAAGCCTCCTTGTTCATCTGCTATCCTATTCTCCGTCTTACTCTTAATTCTTTCAATAATAACTCTACCATACACTTTACCAGGTATACTCAACAGACTTATCCCCCTATAATTTTTGCACTCTCTTTTGTCCCCTTTGCCTTTATACAAAGGAACTATGCATGCTCTCTGCCAATCCCTAGGTACCTTACCCTCATCCATACATTTATTAAATAATTGCACCAACCACTCCAAAACTATATCCCCACTTGCTTTTAACATTTCGATCTTTATCCCATCAATCCCGGCTGCCTTACCCCCTTTCATTTTACCTACTGCCTCACGAACTTCCCCCACACTCACAACTGGCTCTTCCTCACTCCTACAAGATGTTATTCCTCCTTGCCCTACACATGAAATCACAGCTTCCCTATCTTCATCAACATTTAACAATTCCTCAAAATATTCCCTCCATCTTCCCAATACCTCTAACTCTCCATTTAATAACTCTCCTCTCCTATTTTTAACTGACAAATCCATTTGTTCTCTACGCTTCCTTAACTTGTTAATCTCACTCCAAAACTTTTTCTTATTTTCAACAAAATTTGTTGATAACATCTCACCCACTCTCTCATTTGCTCTCTTTTTACATTGCTTCACCACTCTCTTAACCTCTCTCATTTTCTCCATATACTCTTCCCTCCTTGCATCACTTCTACTTTGTAAAAACTTCTCATATGCTAACTTTTTCTCCCTTACTACTCTCTTTACATCATCATTCCACCAATCGCTCCTCTTTCCTCCTGCACCCACTTTCCTGTAACCACAAACTTCTGCTGAACACTCTAACATTACATTTTTAAACCTACCCCATACCTCTTCGACCCCATTGCCTATGCTCTCACTAGCCCATCTATCCTCCAATAGCTGTTTATATCTTACCCTAACTGCCTCCTCTTTTAGTTTATAAACCTTCACCTCTCTCTTCCCTGATGCTTCTATTCTCCTTGTATCCCATCTACCTTTTACTCTCAGTGTAGCTACAACTAGAAAGTCATCTGATATATCTGTGGCCCCTCTATAAACATGTACATCCTGAAGTCTACTCAACAGTCTTTTATCTACCAATACATAATCCAGCAAACTACTGTCATTTCGCCCTACATCATATCTTGTATACTTATTTATCCTCTTTTTCTTAAAATATGTATTACCTATAACTAAACCCCTTTCTATACAAAGTTCAATCAAAGGGCTCCCATTATCATTTACACCTGGCACCCCAAACTTACCTACCACACCCTCTCTAAAAGTTTCTCCTACTTTAGCATTCAGGTCCCCTACCACAATTACTCTCTCACTTGGTTCAAAGGCTCCTATACATTCACTTAACATCTCCCAAAATCTCTTTCTCCTCTACATTCCTCTCTTCTCCAGGTGCATACACGCTTATTATGACCCACTTTTCACATCCAACCTTTACTTTAATCCACATAATTCTTGAATTTACACATTCATATTCTCTTTTCTCCTTCCATAACTGATCCTTCAACATTACTGCTACCCCTTCCTTTGCTCTAACTCTCTCAGATACTCCAGATTTAATCCCATTTATTTCCCCCCACCGAAACTCCCCTACCCCCTTCAGCTTTGTTTCGCTTAGGGCCAGGACATCCAACTTCTTTTCATTCATAACATCAGCAATCATCTGTTTCTTGTCATCCGCACTACATCCACGCACATTCAATCATCCCAGTTTTATAAAGTTTTTCTTCTTCTTTTGCATACCCTACCAAATTCATCCACCAACCTCTGCAACTTCTCTTCAGAATCTCCCAAGAGCGCAGTGTCATCAGCAAAGAGCAACTGTGACAACTCCCACTTTATGTGTGTGAGTAAAATTATGTGTTACAAAGTAGTGCCTGTACAGGCAAGCTCCGCTTGTACAGCAGGTTAGGTTCCGGGCTACTGCTGTACAGGCAGGCTCCGCTTGTACAGCAGGTTAGGTTCCGGGCTACTGCTGTACAGGCAGGCTCCTGCTGTACAGGCAGCCTTTTTTCACTTTCAAATGCATATAAATGCCTCACAACATGTTTACATTATCATATATTAGGTGAGCAATAGAGCTAGGCCTTAAAAATGCATATACAGTACACACATTACTACTACCACTTCATTCAACAAACTGGCCATATCCCACCGAGGTAGGGTGGCGCAAAAAGAAAAGCAAAAGTTTCTCTTTTTAACTTTAGTAATGCTTCCACAGGTTACTTACTTTAAAATATTTTTGTCCTTTGCTTCTAGTGAGTGGTGAATATATTTATTGTAGGAAGTATAAATAAATAAAGAATGGGTATAATTGAAAATTGCTGTATTAGTGAAATGGTGTAAAGCAAAGTGGTGTAAATGGAGATGTTACAGTCAGAGAGCAATTTGTGATATCAGCACACCTCTGGAAAGACAGCAGTTGATTGAATGATGGTAAGTGATTTTTCTTTTTTTTTGGGTCACCCTGCCTTGGCGGTAGATGGCCATCGAGTTAAACAAAATTTAGCACTTCTAAAGGATGTTAACATGATTAATTTTTATGTAAGTCATTGCTGTATGTTTCTGCATAATGTGGCATTTCTCACATGGTAAATATTAATTTTGTTCAATCCTTTGTTGTGAGATTATCTTAAGACTTGATTTATGATGTCTCTGTAAAACATTGACCATTTCCCACAAAGGAAAGGTAACCCAAAGAAGAAATGGACTAATGTAATTTACATTATTCCTGATGGGAATAAATTCATTCGGTAAAGGCACTCGAACAGCCTTCTGGACCGAAGAAAGTTCGATATTTGAGGTTCCACTGTATTATCATTACTATTATTATTATTAATATTGCTACTTAGAAACTTAAATAACGATATTGAAAGATACTCAGTATTTTTCTAAAAAAAAAAAAATGTTTTTGTTGTGTTTTTAATATTTGCTTCCACTGCAAGCAGGAACCCCTGGCTGCAGAGCTTCCCCGTCAAACAGCGGGGATGTGGAATCCCTTAACTGTACTCCAGTTGGCACACCTTGGAGTGGATATCTTTGATTCTACATTCCCTTTCCTTGTAACGGAAAGAAGAGGAGCTCTTACATTCCCCTTTAGATTAAATAGGTTAGTTGTACAGTGCCTGCATTCTGGAGGAGGGGTGGGGATGTTGTAGTTCTGGAGGTGGGAAGTACAGTGCCTGCACTCTGGAGGATGGGTGGGGATGTTGTAGTTCTGGAGGTGGGAAGTACAGTGCCTGCACTCTGGAGGATGGGTGGGGATGTTGTAGTTCTGGAGGTGGGAAGTACAGTGCCTGCACTCTGGAGGATGGGTGGGGATGTTGTAGTTCTGGAGGTGGGAAGTACAGTGCCTGCACTCTGGAGGATGGGTGAGGATGTTGCAATTTGGAGGGCCGTCTGAATTGTGATGTTAGCACGATTCTGGTAAGACGGCAATCGGACAAATTATGCTGAATGTATTTCTTCTTTATTGGGGTCACCCTGCTTTACTAGGGGGTGGCCAATGTATTTAAAACTCTATAGAGGAAAACTTTAATGTGGGATAAGAATTTGGAAAAGTAGAGTAATTATTTTAATGCAGGATAAGGATTTAATAAATATAACAAGTCAGAGGCAGGGGAAAGTGAGTAAAAAAATGCGAATACCATAATTATATTTTTGTGTTATTATTCAACACTGGCTGTCTTCAATCGAGACAGAGTGGCACCAAAAAAGAAGAAACTTTTCTTCTGTTTACATTTAGTAATTTATACAGAAGAAGGTGTTAGGGATATTGGCCATTTGGAGTGACATCTAAATTGTCATATCAGGGTGCCTCTGCAAAACAGTGATTATGTTTGAATGATGGTGAAAGTGTTTTGTTTTTGGGTCACCTGCCTCGGTGGGAGATGGCCAACGTGTTGAAAAAAAGAAAGCAAGGTGTTAGATACCATAATACAGAAACATAGTCATAAGAGTAGTCACACATATGCTGTACTGGTTTTTTTTTTTTTTTTTTTTTAAGAGCCTTGACTGGAGCTAGATCAAACTCCCATAGAAAATTAGTTACTTTACTCATCTTGTTCCATTATATATCTACTGAAACTAACTTCCTGTATCTTCACCATCAATATGAAACCGTTAAAGAAATTCCACTTAACGGAAGAACACTGAATCAGTTCGAAGTGTTAATACATACTTAAAATTTCGCTATTATACATTTAGCTACCTCTTGTTGCTGTCCATTTAAAAACTCCTATTTAATAACTCATGTCTAGTTCTTTAGTAGTCTTGAAGGATTAGTATACTTGTCTGCCTGAAATGTTAGTGGCTTTCATGTGTGTCTAACAATATTTTATTACATGTAAACTACATTACTTGTATATTACAGAAAAGAGATACTTTTTTTTTTTTTTTTTTTTTTTTTTTCAACAAGTCGGCCGTCTCCCACCGAGGCAGGGTGACCCAAAAAAGAAAGAAAATCCCCAAAAAGAAAATACTTTCATCATCATTCAACACTTTCACCACACTCGCACATTATCACTGTTTTTGCAGAGGTGCTCAGAATACACAGTTTAGAAGCATACACATATAAAGATACACAACATATCCCTCCAAACTGCCAATATCCCAAACCCCTCCTTTAAAGTGCAGGCATTGTACTTCCCATTTCCAGGACTCAAGTCCGACTATATGAAAATAACCGGTTTCCCTGAATCCCTTCACTAAATATTACCCTGCTCACACTCCAACAGATCGTCAGGTCCCAAGTACCATTCGTCTCCATTCACTCCTATCTAACACGCTCACGCACGCTTGCTGGAAGTCCAAGCCCCTTACCCACAAAACCTCCTTTACCCCCTCTCTCCAACCCTTTCGAGGACGACCCCTACCCCGCCTTCCTTCCCCTATAGATTTATATGCTTTCCATGTCATTCTACTGTGATCCATTCTCTCTAAATGACCAAACCACCTCAACAACCCCTCTTCTGCCCTCTGACTAATACTTTTATTAACTCCACACCTTCTCCTAATTTCCACACTCCGAATTTTCTGCATAATATTTACACCACACATTGCCCTTAAACAGGACATCTCCGCTGCCTCCAACCGTCTCCTCGCTGCTGTATTTACCACCCAAGCTTCACACCTTCATGTTTTGGGTGACCCTGCCTTGGTAGGAGATGGATGATGTGTTAAAGAACAATAATTATATAAATGTATCTCTTTTTTTTTTTTTTTTTTTTTTTTTTTTTTTTTTAAAAAAAAGAGATACATTTATATAATTATTGTTCTTTAACACATCATCCATCTCCTACCAAGGCAGGGTCACCCAAAACAAGAAGAAAAAAAAGTTTTTTTTTTTTTTTTTTTTTTTCAGTGAACTGGCCACATCCACCAAGGCAGGGGGATGTAAAAAGAAAGTTTCTCATTTTAAATTTAGTAATATATACAGGAGAAGGGGTTACTAGCACCTTGCTCCTGGCATTTTAGTCACCTCTTACGACACGCACGGCTTACGGAGGAAGAATTCTGTTCCACTTCCCCATGGAGTTTATTATTATTATCATTATTATTATTATTTATTATTATTACCACCTCCCACCCTCCAGATGTGGTGTGCATGATCCCTATTAATTTAGATTTTCCCCATGAATATAATAATAATGTACGGTGGTCTGGTGGCTAAAGCTCCCGCTTCACACACGGAGGGCCCGGGTTCGATTCCCGGCGGGTGGAAATTCCGACACGTTTCCTTGCACCTATTGTCCTGTTCACCTAGCAGCAAATAGGTACCTGGGTGTTAGTCGACTGGTGTGGGTCGCATCCTGGGGGACAAGATTAAGGACCCCAATGGAAATAAGTTAGACAGTCCTCGATGACGCACTGACTTTCTTGGGTTATCCTGGGTGGCTAACCCTCCGGGGTTAAAAATCCGAACAAAATCTTATCTTATCTTATCTCTTAATTGAGATAATGTACTATATTTAGGCAGATAAAGACCTTATTTTGTATTTTTCAGAAGACAAAACGATGGAGCATATTCCAAAGGCAGCTGTTTAGAACATCAGAATAAAAAATTAAAGGTATCTGAAGACAGTCCAAAGGCAAAGGCGGAAGAAGAGGTTCCAAGACAAGATAACAAGATTAGGGAGTCTGAAGACGAGGAGTTATCATCTCCATATGAAATAAACATGAAGAATAAAAGGTGGGGTCAAATTTTGTGGAGTGATTGAGTGGATAATGATGAAAGCGTTTCTTCTTTTTTGGGGGAAACCCTGCCTCGGTGGGAAACAGCCAATGTGTTAATAAAAAAATAAATAAAAATTATTTGTTGTAATAGCAATGAAGAGTTGAGATCTTGGAAGAAAAAGTCTTAATACCGTGGCTGCAATAATTCGCAACTAACCTGCAAGTTAGAGATGCGTTGATTAGAAGGACGACATCTTGGTTCGTCTACTGAAATTATCAACACACACTATTATTATTGTCCAGGACAAACAGAAATGATAGAAAGTTTCTATATCTATATTTGACTTGTTTATTTAAGTGGAAGAGCATGAGCATTGATGGATGGGTCACTTTCTAGGCAGACAATGGCTGCTGTCAAAAAAAAAAAAAAAAAAAAGGATCATTGACTGAATTATGTGTTTAGGCTCGTGGAAGACATTAGCTTTCGTTTATCTGGACATGTGTTAGCTCTGCTATTTCCTGTTTGTCCACGTGTGTGATTCCTTCATCACGTGTTTACTGCTCTATATCCGACGCATTGTTGCTGTGAACATGCTTCTGTCAGTCGCTCCCTATTGAAGCATTGTTACCTTTATGTAGTGAAAAGATTGCATGTATTGTGTTAGGGTAACTGTGTATTTTGTTAGGTTAATTGTGTTAGGTTAACTTTGTACTATCTTAGGTTCATTAGGGTAACTGTGAATTATGTTAGGTTAACTGTGTATTGTGTTAAGTTAACTTTGTATTGTGTATTGTGTTAGGAGTAAATATTGTCTAGCAAACAAATATTTGATGAAAAGTTCAGTATTTTTTTTGTTAAACTGGTAAGGATATTTCCTTATTCATCCAAATTTCAATGCTGTTTGATACCATTGGGCTTAGAACTTTTTTATTAATTAAATAAATAAAATTAGGGATGTGCCAAAGTATGGGTATTAGCTAATTTTGATGCTAATTTTGATGTGTGTTGGTCAAACATTTGGTATAATCCCATCCCTAAATAATTTCATCTACCTGTTCTTCACTATTAATATTTTCACAATATTTAGCTACTTAAAGTTAAGAATTATACAAAAAGTTCAAATATATGAAAAAACCACATTAAATGAGTCTAAAACATCAAAATATGCAATAAAAAAGTGCACAAAATACTTGCTAAAGGAGTAACTCTAAAAGTGGGCAGATGGATCTTCGACTGTCTAACCAACAGAACACAGAGTAATGGTAAACAGAGTTAAGTCAGAGGCTGCCACAGGGAAGAAAACTGTTCCACAAGGCACAGTACTCTTTCCCATCCTGTTCCTAAGTTTTCTCAGTTTTTTCTGTGTATGATAATGTTTCATTAAGTTTTAAAATTAAAAATAAAAAGTTTGTTTATATCTGTAAATTTAGGCAAATATTTTTTTTAATGTTTGTTTTTGCTGTCTCCCCATTATTATTATCAAAGTTATGTATCTTCAGCAATGTGTCACTGATGAAGCCGTTGTTAGAAGGATGTGAATGCTATACCTGCAAGAATTTCACCCGTGCGTATGTCCATCACCTGACCATCGCAAATGAATTGCTTGCACCGGTCTTGCTGATGATGTACGTGAGTTTGTTGTATCTTCTGTGTTTGTCTCTCATCACACGTGAGTGCCTCAGGTGTGTCGGCTAGCACCCAGGTACCTACTCACTACTAGGCGAACAGGGACAGAAGGCATCTTAAGGAAACACGACCCAATGTTTCCACCTGTACTGGGGATCAAACCACGAACCTCAGTATATGAGCTGGGAGCGCTACTAACCCAGCTACAGGAGTTTAATAATGCCATAAGCTGACAGGTAGTGAGAACCACACTATCATATGTTTGCAGAGTAACTTTTATTATGTTTGGCAGCATTTCACTCTCCAGGAGCTTTGTAAAACCGCTATGGTGGAGAGCAAAACTTTGCCACAAAAAAACATCGCATTAGTTGTGTCTGTGTCCTTTTGCCTAAAATTTTATCAGTAACTCTACCATTTATTTTTCAAGACACTGGCCACATCCCACCGAGGCAGGGTGACCTAAAAAAGAAAAGCAAAAGTTTTTCTTAATAATTTAGTAATTCTACTATGTTGTGTATCTATACGTATATGCTTCTAAACTGTTGTGTTCTGAGCACCTCTGCAAAAACAGTGATTATGTGTGAGTGTGGTGAAAGTGTTGAATGATGATGACAGTATTTTTGGGGGGGATTTTCTTTCTTTTTGGGTCACCCTGCCTCGGTGGGAGACAGCCGACTTGTTGAAAAAAAAAAAAGTTCTACCATTATTACTAACGTATATTAAGACATTACAATCATACTTCATAAAGGTTTTCATGGGCAAAAGATGGTAATGAAGGTTTTTCTACAAACATAGTATCTTTCTCAGATGCATAATGTGTTTATAAATTGTCTTAGAAACTTGCGGCTAATGTATTTATAATTTGACCTTTGTAGCTAATGTATTTATAATTTGGCCTTTGTACCTAATGTATTTATAATTTGGCCTTTGTAGCTAATATATTTATAATTTGACCTTTGCAGCTAATGTATTTATAATTTGACCTTTGTAGTTAATGTAATTATAATTTGTCCCTAGGCACAACCTACATCACTGGATGGACTTCTTCTCTAGTATAAGAGAAGCAATCAAGACTGACCGTTTAGAGGACCTCCAGACACTGATAACTACCTCAGTCTTTGAGTCCAATGAGGTATAGCTCTTATTTCATCGTACTGTAAGGCTTAAAATGATTCTTTTGGTACTATTTATCGTGTGCTATAAATATTTTACACTTGTCACTTTAAACAAAAATTTTTTTTACATCCTTAAACATGAGGATATAGGTACAAAGCCTCATATTGGACTCCCATGGGACCAATTGTGTGTGACTAGTTAATGGTGCAGGTCGGACCGAAATGTCGTCATCAGTTTCTTTCTTCGGGTTATTTGTGTACTGAATTTCTTTATTTTAAGCGACTAAGTAAATTTACTGTTCTATTGTAGGTCAGGTTTTCTGAATAGACTGTGTAGTAGCAAATAATGTTAAATAATGTGAAAAGCCACAGCAGTATTGCAAAGAATTCACTGCTTGTCACGTACAGTGTAGCATTTTTATCAGAAAATTCACTCAGCTGAGTGTGTAGAATATGGCTTTTAATGAACCATTACTGCATAATGTGTGCAAATATAATGGTTGTTCTCTCTGGCTTACTAGTGACTTGTAAACATATAGGCTACTGTATCACATGTTTTCAAAAACAAAAAGGTGACTGGAATAATATACGTACGCACAAATAACCAGATCAGAACTTTGTCATAAGCTTCTCTTTCCTATGTTCGGGTGATTTGTATATCATGTGTTTTAATCAGGAAAAATTGATTTCATAAAATGCATTAACTTCTCTTAATTTTCAGTTGTACTGATGATTTAAACCAAAATTAGTACAAATTTAATAATATTTATGCTTTTAGGGAGATGGGCTGCTTCCGGACCTTATTTCAGCTTAAAATGGCTAGAGAGTGACACAGACTACTTAACAATGCCTGACCAGTCCTGATCAATTAATTTTAGCTGAGATATTTTAACAAATATCTCTTTTTTTTTTTTAAAGGTTATATGTATTTGAGTGTCCTGACTTTGAAATTTTGTATCTCTAAAATTTAAGTCAAGTTTTCAAAAATGAGCAAATGGTATCACTTTGCTTTTTGCCTTATATAATTTTAGTAAAAAAAGAAGAGATGAGTTAGTGAACTCTTGGATAGCAATAATGGTAATAGTACTGACAAAATGTTAGGCAAGTGGACACAGATGCAGCTAATGTGACGTTTTATTGTGGCAACCTTTCGCTCTACAGGAGCTTTGTCAAGCCATTACAGCTTGACAAAGCTCCTGGAGAGTGAAAGGTTGCCACAATATAACATCACATTACTTGCACTTGTGTCCTTTTATCTAACAACTCTTGGATATTGTTTGCAAGGAAGGGGCAACAAATATCTACATATTTTGAGGGGTTTCCTCAGTAATGATTTGCAATTTCATATTCTTTAAAGAATATATGTCGACTGACATGCAATGCAGGATTTTATACTATTCCTTGTTAATTTTTTTGAACGATGTTAGAGAATATAAATGCACTAAGAGTTGAACATTTGAATGTTTATCTTTATACTGAAGGAATCAGTGTAGCAACATCACTACACATTACATTGTGTCTCTGAAGATTGAATTGTATTTGTCAAATACATTTATACTGTACAAAGAATTTGTGTATTTGGATATCCTAAATTACAGGTTTATGTTCCTATATATTGATTGGTTTTTCAGCTGTGTGCACTGTATATGTATGGTCTACAGTATATAAAATGAAATACAGTGGAACCTCAAATATCAAACTTTCTTCGGTCCAGAAGGCTGTTCGAGTGCCTTTACCGAATGAATTTATTCCCATCAGGAATAATGTAAATTAGATTAGTCCATTTCAGACCCTCAAAAATACACTTATAAAAGCACTTACAAAAATACACTTACATAATTGGTTGTGTTGGGAGCAGTTCGATTTTTGAGGTTCCACTGTACATAGAGTAGTCCCCCCATATCCACAGGGGATAGGTTCCAAGATTTACCACGGATACCCGAAACCACTGATAGTTTTTTTTTTTTTTTTTTTTCCACAAACCGGCCGTATCCCACCAAGGCAGGGCGGCCCAAAAAGAAAAACGAAAGTTTCTCTTTTTAAATTTAGTAATTTATACAGGAGAAGGGGTTACTAGGCCCTTACTCCCGGCATTTTAGTCGCCTCTTACAACACGCATGGCTTACGGAGGAAGAATTCTGTTCCACTTCCCCATGGAGATAAGGGGAAATAAACAAGAACAAGAACTAGAAAGAAAATAAAAGAAAACCAAGAGGGGTATGTATATATATGCTTGTACATGTATGTGTAGTGTGACCTAAGTGTAAGTAGAAGTAGCAAGATGTACCTGAAATCTTGCATGTTTATGAGACAAAAAAAAAGATACCAGCAATCCTACCATCATGTAAAACAATTACAGGTTTCTGTTTTACACTCACTTGGCAGGACGGTAGTACCTCCCTGGGCGGCTGCTGTCTACCAACCTACTACCTATAACCACGGATAGTTGTCAACCCTATATATAAGTAATTTTTTATTTACATATATATCTTTGATAAAGTTTAATTGATAAATTACACACAGTAAGTCTAGAATTAGCATATTTTCACTGATGGGAAGCACTTCATGGTTTCTCTTACACTTTGAGGAACTGCCAGCATCAAGACTTTGATGCTTTGGGGCCATTACTGAGCAAAATTAAGGGTTATTTTTGGGCCATGGTAAACCATGCATAACTGAAACTATGGAAACTAAATCCATGGATACAGGGGCTCTACTGTACTATATTTTTCCTAAAATAATTGGTCAGATTTTTGTAAGTGTTGTATATACAGTACATGTATAGATGCTGTATGTCATTCTAAACCTTAATAAAACTAGAAACTAAATGTTTATACTGTACAGTATAATAAATTACCAACATGGGAAGAAAGTTGTAAAATATGAAAAGCTTTCATGTGGTCAAGACTTTCAGGTCATGAAGACTGTGGGAATAATCTTTTGTGGAGACAGTAGCAGGATATTGCCATTCTTAAAGCCCCTCATTAAGTTTATTTCCCACTTTTGCATTTCCCAGTCTGTCCAGGGCACTAATTTTACAGCAAAATCATTCAGAGAAGCTTTAACTAGGCTATGAATTTATCAGAAACTATCCACAGCCTATCATCCTCAGCCCCACTTATACAGTAAGTTAGGTTCCGGGCTACATAGCTTGGAACCTAACCTGCTGTATAAGTGGGGCCCTCCTGTATTGTATAATGGCAACATTTAAGAGATAAAACTGTGATAAAATAAACCCTCACTGCTAATTTTCAACTGTGGAATATGGCAAACAATAAAACTAATACTATACAGTATATCACTGAATGACTGTGTGACTTTAATGGTCCAGGTTGGCCTGAAACTGTCATAAGTTGCAGTCTCCTAAGTGTGGATTACTTGTGTATCAGTTTAGTGTTTATTATTATTAAGTTATGACTCAGGAAATTGTAATACGGCCTCTCCTCACGTAACGATAGAGTACCGTTCCTAAAAACCACGTTGGTAAACAAATTTGTCACTGAGCAAGGAGCATACTATAATTGTGGTAGGTTTGTGTCAACCATCTTTGATATTGTTTTAATGTCACTTTGCGCTATTTATATCGTTTTTAGTATATTTTTAAATGTTTATACAGTAGTGTACTGTATATTGTAATCAACAGAATAGAGGAAATCAGCTCTAATATACATTATTTAAGTATGCATACTGGTCAGAGAGCCCATTGTAAGTCCAAGTCGTCAGTAAACGAATATGTTGCTAAGTGAGGAGAGACTATAATATGATTACAGACAAGTCACAGAGTTTTAGGATTCATCTGTCATGAGTTCAAGCACCACCCAGTCTGTGATTTAATTATTTTTTTTTTTTTCAATGCACTGGCTATCTCCCACTGAGGCAGGGTGACCTAAATTGAAAAGCAAAAGATTTTCCTTTTATATGTAAGCTATACAGGAGAAGGGGTTACTAGGCGCTTCTTATGATATGCATGGCTTACGGAGGAAGGATTCTTTTGCACCTCCCCATGGAGATTATGTATTTTTGTTATTACCAATGTAGGAGTTTAGAGGGAATTGATGGAAATTATGGGAGGACTTCAGCCTTCCCTTGGTACTGCCTCGTCTTGCCAGTCCACTCTCCTTTGTCTTGCAGGATATTACCCTCAGCTAAACAGTGGTCTGTGCTTGCTAGCCCTCGATGCATCCTTCATTCTGAGAGTCACCGGAGGCTGCCGGTACGGATACAGTTGATATTGAATGGGTTGTCTTAAATAAATTTGAAGTAATACAACTGTTTTAATTTTACCTCAGTTGATTTCCAAAATATATGTTTTTTCAAAATGCACATTATCCCCGTGTTACCAAGAGTTTTAAGTCTTGGAGGTGGGAAGTACAGTGCCTGCACTCTGAAGGAGGGGTGAGGATAGTGCAGTTGGGAGGGTCATCTCAACTTTGATGTTAGCACACTTCTTGTGAGGCAATGGATGAATGAATAACTACACCCATGTATCGATTAGTGCAAGCTCAAACAGTGCAAAATTAATTAATGCTAGTTTTCCCCAAACTTTTCAAATCATGTGCAAAAATTACTTATAATTTTAATAACATGTTCACTACATGGGTTTTGTTATTCACACTAATCAAGACCTAGCTGTATACAGGAAGTCCCCCCTTTTACAGCAGGTTAGGTTCTCGGCTACTACTGTAATGTGAACCATAGCCTTTTTTCACTTTTCAATGCATATAAAAGCCTGATGACATGTTTACACTGTCATTTATTAAGTGAGCAACAGAGCTAGGCATAAAAAATGCATATACAGTACACACGTTACTTACCTGAAAATATTTTCATCCCTAGCTTATAGTGAGTGGTGAATGTATTTATTATAGGAAGTCTGAATAAATGAAGAATGGGTTTAACTGAAAACTGATGTATTAGCGGAATGCTATAAAGTGAAGCACTGTCAGCGAGGCCTCCCCTCAAAGGAAGTTCCTTGATGCTGGTGAGGGGCTCTTAATCTAGGGAATTGGATCTGTGCTCCAGTTCCCTGAATTAAGCCTGAATACCTTCCACAAACCCCCCAGGTACTGTATAATCCTATGGGTTTAGCCCTTCCCCATGATTATAATAATAATAATCCACAGGTGCTGTATAATCCCTATGGGTTTAGCGCTCCTTTAGAGTAATAATCACCCCACCCATCACTAACCCAACATATGAAGAACAAGGCATAATACCGATCACCTCAACCACCCATCACCCCACACATCCTACCCATCACCCACCCACCCATCACCCCACCCATCACCCACACATCCTACCCATCACCCACCCACCATCACCCCACCCATCCTACCCATCACCCACCCATCATCCTACCCATCATCCTACCCTCACCCACCCATCCTACACCACCACCTATCACCCACCCATCCTACCCACCACCCATCCTACCCATCACCCACTCATCCTACCCATCACCCCACTCATCCTACCCATAACCCACCCATCATCCTACCCACCACCCATCATCCTACCCATCACCCACTCATCATCCTACCCACCACCCATCACCCCACCATCATCCTACCCACCACCCATCACCCACCCATCACCTACCCATCACCCACCCATCATCCTACCACACCCACCTATCACCTACCCATAACCCATCCATCATCCTACCCACCACCCATCCTACCTATCACCCACCCATCATCCTACCCATCACCCACTCATCATCCTACCCACCACCCATCCATCATCCTACCACCACCCACCCATCACCTACCCATAACCCATCCATCATCCTACCCACCACCATCATCCTACCTATCACCCACCCATCATCCTACCTATCACCTACCCTTCATCCTACCCATCACCCTACCCACCACCCATAACCCACCCATCATCCTACCCACCACCCATCATCCTACCCACCACCCATCGCCGGGAATCGAACCGGGCCCTCCGTGTGTGAAGCGGGAGCTTTAGCCACCAGGCCACCGGGCCACCAATGCTTACCTCCCGGCGGGGAATTGAACCCCAGTATCCCCGCCTGTCACGCGGGAGACCGGGGTTCAATTCCCCGCCGGGGAGGTAAGCATTGGTGGCCCGGTGGCCTGGTGGCTAAAGCTCCCGCTTCACACACGGAGGGCCCGGGTTCGATTCCCGGCGGGTGGAAACATTTCGACACGTTTCCTTACACCTGTTGTCCTGTTCACCTAGCAGCAAATAGGTACCTGGGTGTTAGTCGACTGGTGTGGGTTGCATCCTGGGGGACAAGATTAAGGACCCCAATGGAAATAAGTTAGACAGTCCTCGATGACGCACTGACTTTCTTGGGTTATCCTGGGTGGCTAACCCTCCGGGGTTAAAAATCCGAACGAAATCTTATCTTATCTTATCTTACCCTACCCACCACCCATAACCCACCCATCATCCTACCCACCACCCATCATCCTACCCACCACCCATCACCCTACCCACCACCCACCCATCACCCTACCCACCACCCCACCCATCACCCACCCTCTGATAACAGGCAACAGATGGCGCGCAAATCAGCTGTTGAAAGTAAACAATAACAAATACTTGTCGGCTGCTGATGGTGTCATAATGGAGTACAAGAACAGGTCGAGGACCAGAGCTTCCTTCGCCAGCTACTCCTCCAGGAGGTTCCTCAAGCCCTCCAAGTCAGTCTTAACACATTAATTATTAGCCTCACTAACTGACAGCGACAAATTGGTTCTTAAAAAAAAGATATATGAGGAGAGATTTGGAGGTACTTGAAAACTTTTTCAGGTCCTCGGACCTTGATGGTTGATCAAGGTCCCAGGACCGAAACGTTTTGTAATAAATGTGTTCTGGTCTTTGTTCATGTGTCTTTTTGGATGTAATGCATATTAACCTTACTAAATGATAATGACAGATTTATTTTTAAAATGAGCAAATATATGAACCTATTAGAAAAATTTTCGGTCTTGGGACCTTAATCACTTCTGAAGGTCCCAGGACCGAAACGTTTTGTAATGTGTCTCTGGTCTTTGCTCACGCGTCTTTTTGAACATTATGCATGTAATTACATGCAAAATAGCTGTATAATCCTACATTATTATTATAATCAAGGGGAAGCGCTAAACCCGTAGGATTATACAGCGCCTGGGAGGGATGTGGAAGGCATTCAGGCTTAATTCGGGGAACTGGAGCACAAATCCAATTCCCTAAATCAAGAGCCCCTCACCAACATCAAGGAACCTTCCCTGAGGGGTATAATCCTACAGGTTTAGCACTTCCCCCTGATAATAATAATAATAATAATAATAATAATAATAATAATAATAATAATAATAATAATAATAATGCAAAATGACCACAGGGGAAGTTGAATGATAGCTCTAGGCCTTTCATGTGCCAACACATCATCAGGAGCTTACAATGTTGCTGTCGTTTCCCTGGATGAGGCTGCCTGGATTTCTTGCTGTATTATGCAACATTGCAAGCTCCTGATGATGTGCTGATTGCAACACGAAAGGCCTAAGGCTATCATTCAACTCCCTCAGTGGTTATTTTGCATCATTTATAACTCATTCACGATTATTGCAGCATGTAGATAGTTATTAACAGAAGTGGTTAAAGCAGGTAACTTTTCCAGTGGCTTACCATGGGGGTTAGTCCCATTCCAGGGGACTATTATCGTGTTCGTGTTGTTAACCCAGAGAGTTAGTAACCCAGGATAACCCAATAAATCCACTGCCATCATCATCACTGTCTTATTTCCATTTGGGTCTTTAATCCTCTCCCTCAGGATGGCATGAAGAAGGAAATGATTTTGTTGGATTAACCTGGAGGGTTAGTAACCCAGGATAACCCAGTGAGCCACTCTGATCATCATCACACTGGCTTATTGCCATTGAGTTTCCTAATTCTCTCCCCCCAGGATGCAACAAGGAAAACTATTTTGTTGGGTATTATTAATCTGGTGGGTTAGCAACCCACAATAACCTACCCACCACCATCACCAGAATGACTTATTTCCATTGGGGTTCTGCATCTACTCCCCCAGGATGCAACCCATACCTGTTGATGAGCACCCAAGTACCTACTTATTGCTAGGTGAACAGGGACAGCAGGTGTCTATTTAATTGTTTACTCAATAATAGCACACATGGAAACAAACACAAGAAGTTGATTGATCTGTATATTTTGATCCCCTTCTGGGATCCTCTTCAGAGGATCCCAGATCAATCAACCTCCTGTGTTTCTGTCTCCATGTGGGTTATTACTGAGAATTGACAAGTATTCATTACACTTCAGTTATTCATTTACTTATTTATCATGTCGTATTCATGTTCAACTTACTATATTTTCAACTTACAAAATTTTCAACTTATGATGGGTCCATCAGAACATAACCTCACCGTAAGTTGAGGAGCACCCGTTTCATTCTGGCCTTTTTTATCCAGGGTGAAGGATAGCTCAATATTCTGGTGGCTGTTGGCGATGGCTCGACTCTACCTGGCAACCGTACAGACAGGATACATCCACCCAGACGAGTTTCATCAGTCTGTCCAGGTGATGGCACGTATGTATCCCTACATCGCTCTCGCTTCTCTGCTGAAGTGTCATATGGCTTGTAATTTAATGTTTCATTGAAGGAGAAATAGACACAAATGCAGTATAATGCAATCCTTTATTGACCGCTGCATTTGTGTCTGTTTTTCCATTATACTGTTATTGTATACCATTTGTTTCCATTGCTTCATTAATATTATACAGTACAGTACAACTTTATTTCTTTCGTGCAGTATACAAAATGTAGTTTACACGTAATAAAATATTGTTAAGCACAAAAGAAAGCCACTAGCATGCTGTGCACTTCAGACAGACTACCTAACTAGACATAGGTTATTAAGTAGGAACTTTTTCTTAATGTACAAAAGTGAGGTAGCTAAGTGAACAATAATACAGTTTTAAGTTTGCATTAATAATATTAATTTCTGTAAGGGGGGAAGTAGTACGGTGACAGCAACAAATTGTAGGTTAACGACACTGAAGGAAGTGTTTTGCGTGAGTGTCTTTCTCACTCCTGAAGAAAGCACTTGTGGTGAAGTGTTTTCACAAATGGCTTAATTAGTGGTTACGTGTAATAATTCCTACAAACTTTGTCATTCATCAAGTGCTACTTTCACAACTATGTAATCTACAATTTGGAGATAAATACATAGTGTAGGTTTTGGTTTGCCTTAGATAACTATCCCACCATTTCATTTGTGATTTGATAATGGGACATGATGGACCAAAATGTGATTTAAATAATTATTTCCAGTTTATGGATTAGTTATGAATTGTTCCAGCTTAAGTCTGCCCAAAATGCTCTGTATAACTATGGGTTTTCTACATGCATGACTGAAAGTCACCCATCTCTGTACATTGTTTCATGCTGAAATAATAATAATATTACATTATGATACAGTATTATTAATACAGTGTCTGCACTCTGAAGGAGGGGTGTTTATGTTGCAGTTTTATAACTGTAGTGTAAGCATACCTCTGGCAAGACAGTGATGGAGTGAATGATGATGAAAGCTTTTCTTTTTTGGGCCACCCTGCAACTTGTGGGAAATGACCGATGTATTAATAAAAAAATAAAAAACTTCCAAACTTTAAATCTTCTTCATTGCAGTACTTTTGGAATTATAATGTGTTTTGTATTTTTTTCAGGTGACGTATTGAACATAGATGCCAAGAAACCATGGGAATTCAGCACAGAGGATCCCATCAGATCAGTCACTTTCTCTGCCCTGGTATCCTTACCTTATTTTTTTATGAAATACTCTGCACCATTTTTCACTTACTTCCTGGGATATGATCTGCAGACCCCATATAACTTACTCATTGCTCCACGGATCTTTATGACATTTTTATCTTTTATGCCGACTACAGCATTTACAGAATTGCTCGAATGTGTTACCTCAAACCTTGGAGTTGTGTTGAAGTATTTGCTAGTTCATATATTATGCTAGTTTATGCAACAAGAACATTTTCAAACACGATGGAACTTATCCTCATGTCAGTGCTGCTGTGGCGTGTGTGTGAGTCTATGGTCGATAGCACTAAAATTATACGAAAGCAGACCATCTTACAGGACCTCTATGAAACTGCAGAGAGCCTCAAGGATAAAGTGAAATTAGTTCGTATGAAGAGTAAATTACCTCCCTACAATTATGTTGATAGTGCTGTTATATCAGTGGTTATAACATATGGTGCTTTTGTAAGGCCCACTTTTGTAGTATATTCTTTTATTCCTGTTGCATTCTGGCTACAGAGAGGCGTGGTAACAAAAGAAGTGGATTTCTCTTATTTTAATCTTCGGTGCCTAAGTCTCCTTCCTGGTGTTGTGGTGACGTTCATAGCGTGTGTGTTGGCTGACTCTTTCTATTATGGTTCTCTAACCTTCACCGAACTCGTGTATTGGAATGTAACAGGTAGATCTTTCATAGTAACCCCCATCAACTTTTTGCTGTATAACTCTCAAGAAAATAATTTAGCTTCCCATGGCATTCATCCATACTACCTTCACCTTGCAGTAAACTTACCGATTCTTCACGGCATTCTGGGTCTTTTAGGTCTGTGGTCGGTTTCCAAGTACTCTGCAAGTTTCATTACAAATAATTTTACCAAAAAGCCAAAGATATTCAGCATGGCTACCATGCTGTTAAGCTCCTTCATTCTTCCTGTTCTTGTGTTATCAGCAATACCTCACCAAGAACCAAGATTCCTCTTACCTACATTACTTCCTCTTGTTCTTCTTCACTCAGATGATGTTCTTTTGTCTGGCAGAAAAATTAAGGCCTTCAAACATTTCTGTTTCCTCATGTGGCATATTTGGAATATTTTATGTGTAATTTTCTTTGGTTTTCTTCATCAGGGAGGAGTAACAAAAACCATGATAAGAGTTCATGACCATATAATTCATCGACCGCCTCACACCAATGTGCATATTATATTCTCACATATGTATACTCCTCCCACTTTCCTCCTTATGAGAAGAATAAATGTCATTGCTGTAACGGAAGAAGGCCGCAGGTACCGCATTGCTAAGTCTGTGTTTACTTACGATGTTGGGGGTTCTAAACCAGTTGAAGATTTGCACAACATATCAGCTCAGATATATAAGGAAGCCCTTCAGAACTCTACCAGAGATGCAGATCTTCTTATATGCCTCCCAGCAAGTCTCTCTGAAAAGCTCTATGACAGTACTCCAGAAAATGTAACGCTTCATCGGATACAGCGTGTTCGAGGTCACTTCACTCTGGAAGATCCTCCGGATCTGAACATGGATGACGTTGATTTTACTAGCTCGTGTGGGCATGTCTGTCAGTTTGTGCGTCGTCTGGACCAGTTCAGCATTGATATCATTGGAGTTGACTTTGGGAATCGCATGAGGAGATTCGAGAAAGATACCTCACTAGAGAACTTGTCTCAAGTTTACAAAGACACTAATGATGCAAACATGGTTTCTTTTGAATCAGATGAGGAAACCTCTTTTGAAAACGAAGAGCATTCTGATGTGAATGAAGAGGCTTTAGGTATCAACTTATCTGAACCTTTTGAAGTTGACCAAAACAGACGTAATGAGCTTTAACAGTATATATTTTAATTAAAAAAAATTCTTTTTACTGGGTATTTTTTAGGCACAGTACAAAAAAATAGAGAAATAATACCTGTATTATTCAAGTACTGTATGAATTTTGGTGCCAGGTTGGTATAAGTTTGTTGATTGACTTATTTTATCGATTATCAATGCTCATTTAGCTGCTAATTGAATCAACTAACACTTACATATCTTTTGCTGAATATCTTTCTCAGATAATTAAGATAGGCTTCTGTTTAGAGTTAAAATTACTTGTTTGCTAGTACATGATGCAAAGCTAATCATACCTTTGATATACCTTTGATGAGTTTCGAGAGTTTTTCTACTCCCAGAGCCTGGCCATGGGCCAGACTCATCTTGTGTTTGCTTGGTCAACCAGGCTGTTGCTGCTGGTGGCCCACTGCCCCACCCATCCATCACGGTCATCACAGTGTTTATTCTTCTTAATATTCATCATGAGGGAATGAATAATTCTGAGTATGTGTTGTACTGTATAATACTGCACTATCATTGATGTTGCTCTGTTTGGATGATCTAAGTGAAATCGGGTGTTGTGTACACTGCACAGTGTCCCAGTATTAAAATTCTGATAGTTTTTTTAGCATGTATTAACTGGTTTATCCTCACCTCATAAAAGATGTCAACAAATTAATGATTATAATACAAATGTCATTACAGTACAGTACATATGTTAAATCATGAGCTCCTCATTTCAGACATTTGAAATGGCTAATCCTGATATCTATGATATAGCATGTGTATTTAGAGTACTAGGAAAAGTGTTATATGTACACTGTAGTGGAATGTCAGAGATTTTTCCCTGTATTTGAAAAAATTGTTAAATGGCTTTAAAAATGTAAATTGCCTTTCAAGAAATAGTTGTATGTAGCAGGCATATGAAACAAATGTTCTTTGGATAGGATGTGCCTTGTTAATGAATAGATCTGAAGTTCTGATTCTTCTTTTATCACATCAGCTGTTTCCCCAGGAAGGTAGGGCAACCTAAAGAAGGAAACAACATTCACTACTCTTGCACTGGCAACCTTGCCATGGGTGAGAGTACATTACGATTCAGATGACCCTCTGAACTGCAGCATCCCAACCATCGCTCAGAGTGCAGACACCCTATTTCCTGCCTCAAATACGAAAAAGACTTTTGTGGTACAGGATTCTGGATTTGCTGGAATGCCTAAGAATGTAACCAGTCAATTTAAAGGTTGCAGTGTATAAGTAAGTAGTGGGGTAAGTAATAGAGGTAAGAGTTAGTAAGTAAGTGAGTAAGTAAGTTTATTCAGGTATACTCAAATACAGTTACATAGAATTATCATACATAGCAGCATATGTGTAGAGAACCTAGGATAACCCAAAAAAGTCAGACAGAGTGACTTATTTCCATTTATACTTATATTTATACTTCTTCTTCTTTCAACATACCAGCCGTATCCCACCGAGGCGGGGTGGCCCAAAAGAAAAAACTAAAGTTTCTCTTTTTAAATTTAGTAATATATACAGGAGAAGGGGTTACTAGCCCCTTGCTCCCGGCATTTTAGTCGCCTCTTACAACACGCATGGCTTACGGAGGAAGAATTCTGTTCCACTTCCCCATGGAGGTAAGAGGAAATAAACAAGAACAAGAACTAGAAAGAAAATAGAAGAAAACCCAGAGGGGTGTGTGTGTGTATATATATGCTTGTACATGTATGTGTAGTGTGACCTAAATGCAAGAAGAAGTAGCAAGACATACCTGAAATCTTGCATGTTTATGAGACAGACAAAAGACACCAGCAATCCTACCATCATGTAAAACAATTACAGGCTTTCGTTGTACACTCACTTGGCAGGACGGTAGTACCTCCCTGGGTGGTTGCTGTTTACCAACCTACTACCTAGAATATTTATACTTATATATTTATAAGTTTGCCTGAAATGCTCTGCATAACTATGGACTTTCTGCATGTACAATTAAATGTGACCATCTTGGTACAAACATTGTATCATGCTGAAATAAAATTAGTATTATTATATACAGTGACCTTTTGATGTTTCAGTATTTTAATTAGAGTAGGACCCCATTATTCACGGGATACATTCCAAGGACCTGCTGTGGATACTGAAACTACGGATAGTAGCAAACCCTATACAGTGGACCCCCGCATAACGATCACCTCCAAATGCGACCAATTATGTAAGTGTATTTATGTAAGTGCGTTTGTATGTGTATGTTTGGGGGTCTGAAATAGACTAATCTACTTCACAATATTTCTTATGGGAAAAAATTCGGTCAGTACTGGCACCTGAACATACTTCTGGAATGAAAAAAGTTCGTTAACCGGGGGTCCACTGTATATAAGTCCTATACATACCTATTATAAAGTTTAATTGATAAATTATGCACAAGTGGAGAATTATCACTTTTTTACTGATGGGAAGCACTTAATGGCTTCTCTTAGGCTTCGAAGAACTGCCAGCTTCTCTACTTTTGTGCTTTGGGGCCATTATTATGCAAAATTAAGGGGTATTTTTGGGCGACAGTAAACTGTGGATAACTGAAACCATGGATACCGAATCAGTGGATATGGAGGTTCTACTCTATTTAAGAATAAATCAATGAGAAAATCCAGTTCTGTATGGAGTTTTGTATATTGCACAGATATTTTCAGTTGCATGTAAAGACTATGGTGGAATCATGGCAAGGGTAGTCACAGTAATACTTAAAGCAGGAGATATTAGAAGTTATAATTAAAGGAGTAATTAATATAAACTTATATTTTTATAAATACAAAATTGCTGCATTCCATTTATTGTGCATTTTAATTTTTATATGTAGTGTTAGTGACGATTCCCTCCTACCAGTTATGAAGATTTACTCATTGCCTTTCCAACTTACTCTCTCTCTCATTGATTGCACAAGTACTTCAGTATCTGTCAAGACAGCAAATACTTTTAGAAAAGCATTGATGGGAGTGTTTATAAAAGTGTCAGTGTATGTTTAGAGGAACAAACTTCACTTCAGACCACTTACTAATTAATTAAGAGTTTCTGAATATTTGCTTTCTTTATAGTATGTCACTATGTCAGCTAAGCCTGCATAAGTTGTATCATGTATTATTATTATAACCACTTGCTAATTAAGCTTTAGACCTCAATGACTTAATAATTGAGTTGAAGACTCTAAGTACCACTTAATTACATTAGCTTCCATTATCCATTGGCTCAGTTTATTCAAGTCTTCTTGTAACTACTTTTATTTATAGTATAGGATTTTTGCATTTGCAAAAATTGTTTTGCATCTGCAGACATGTTCACAGTTTTCATTCCAAATCATAGAACAAGTAAGGCTGGAAGCCATGGCAGGTGAGCCCTAAAACTGACGACCAGTGGACTCGCTTGTCATGGGGTAAAGACCCACTTAGTCTGTGATTTGTTTGCAATCATGCTATTACTATTTTGTGAGTTTTTATTCCTGGCAAATTGTTTTTATAGAGTAGAAACATTATCTTGGCCACTGCTGACCCTTGTGGACCTTGTGGTGACATTTTGACATTTCACCATAAAGACATTTGCTCTCTTATCTGCATTTTACTTTTAAGTAAGACCTCTCATTCATTGTTATTGTTTTTCTTTTATTACTGTATTTTGTGCTTCCATAGTCTTGCATTGAAAACTCTTACTAGGATTTAATTATCTGAAGATGCTCTGCATAACCAGGGACTTTCCATGTGTACTAATATCATCCAGTTTTGAGGAAACCATGTATACAGTAAAGTAAAAATTGGTGTAAAGTGAAACATAGCCTTTTTTCACTTTCAAATGCATATAAAAACCTGATAACGTGTACACTATCATATATTAAGTGAGCAATAGAGATAGGTATCAGAAATGCATATACAGTACACACATTACTTACCTTAAAATATTTTCATCCTTAGCTTATAGTGGATGGTGAATATTTTGTAGGAAGTCTGAATAAATGAAGGATGGCTATAATTGAAAACTGATGTATTGGCGAAACGCTGTAAAGTGAGGTCTGCCTGTATAGAATTTTGCTGATCAGAAACAAATTTAATGAATGGTTATTGCTATACAAGTGTATTAAGTACCCATTACTCTCTAACGAGTTTAATAATGTGTGTGTGTGCTTGCGCTTTTTTGGGGCGCCCCACATCACATCAAACAGACAGGCTTGAGTGCAGACCAATCAGTAAAGAACAATTTCAGGTGTGGTCAGAGTGGCCGAGACACGTACTGCTCTGGATGATTGGCTAATGTACCATTACCAGTTACCCGAGATACTTACTAATACAGTGGACCCCCGCATAACGATGGCATCACATAGCGATTTTTCCGCATACCGCTTACTTTTATCGCAAAATTTTTGCCGCGCATACCGATTAAAAACCCGCTCACCGATTTTCGTCCGAGACGCGTCCAATGTGCCCTCAGCCAGCCTCACATGTGCCGCCCGTCCCATTGTTTACCAGCCAGCCTCCGCGGTAACATCCAAGCATACACTCGGAATATTTCGTAATTATTACAGTGTTTTCGGTGCTGTTTCTGGAAAATAAGTGACCATGGGCCCCAAGAAAGCTTCTAGTGCCAACCCTGTGGTAAAAAGGGTGAGAATTAGTATGGAAATTAAGAAGATTTTTGAAGGGTTTGGGCTAACCCTGAGAAGCCTATGCCAGTTGTGGAATCCATTGTGCCTACTTCAAAGATTAAGGAAATGTGTGCACAGTGGGTTGAACTGCAAACCTTTATGGATGAAAATCACCCTGACACAGCTGTTGCAAGCCGTAACTGGTGACTATTTCAATGACAATGTTATGGCCCACTTTTAGGCATAAGTCTTGAAGAAACGGGAGAGTAACAGAGCTATATGGACAGATTTGTTTGCGACCAGAGGTCCAGTGACTCTGAAGCTGGTCCTCTAGGCATTAAAGAGATGGGAAGATGTAACCCAAAAAAGGAGCTATTAACTCAGTCTTATGGAAGGGATCCTTCTAAACCGTAAGAAGTAGATGCTCTACTTTCCATGGGCCCAGTCAAATCATCACCTAGTTTAATAAGTAAGTGTCATGTATGTGCTCCCTTTTTTTGTGTGTAATTAAAAGTACACTTTGCAGTAGGTAAAGAAAAATTTTTTCAGGGCGTCTGGCCGATAAATCATACTGCTTATGGATTTATTGGCTAACGTTTACCATACAATTACCCGAGATTATCGTTTAACCGGAATATAATAAAGTGTACATATTACTGACAGAATTTCCTAGTCTTCTTTTAATTAGTTTTTATTTTTATCTTAATGTAATACAATATTATAATTACAGTGGAACCTAAGTGTTTGAACTACTGGACCTCAAACAAACTGGAGTCTAAACAATTTTGTTCAGAAAAAAATAATGTTTGTCTGGAGTCTGAAGTTCAGTTGTAAATTACTTTCCTGTAAATTATTATTATTATAGTCAAGGGGGAGTGCTGAACCTGTAGGATTATACATGTACAGTTGCCTATGAGAGGGGGGGGATGGAAGGTATTCAGGCTTAATTCAGGGAACTGGAGCACAGATCCACTTCCCTAGATAAAGAATGCCTCACCAGCATCAAGGAGCCTTGAGGAGACTTTCCTGTAAAGTCCTGTTTCAAAAGTGCTTTTATGTGACTTCTGGCATTGACCTAACTCTCAGAGACTTTTGTAAAGTCAATTCAACATCCTCCAGTGTGAAGATAATTAAAGCCTGGCAAATACTGTTTCCCACTTCGAAATTTTTGCAGTTCCAACACCACCTAGGAACCAATTAAGTTTAAACCCTGGGGTTCCACTGTACTTTATTTTTATATTTTAATATTTTTTCAAATGTCTTATTCCATGAAAGTTAGAAATAGGTTGACATTTATGAATGTAATCAAGGGAGGCTTCACCTTCCTGGAAGAGTTGATCTGAGGAAAGGGAGGATTACTCCAGTTCCTCACATCAAGACCTCACTTGAAGGGTTGAATAAGTATTGCCAGCATGTGAATTTATAATCTCATTTTATGTAATGTTATTATTTATAGTATATATAATATTACTATCATTATTATTCTTAGTCTGTAATATTGCCATCATTATTATTCATTTTATATAATACTGTCTTTGTTATTATTCATAGTTTATGTGATACTGTCATTATTATTATTCATAGTTTGTGTAATACAGTGGACCCCCGCTTAACGATCACCTCCCAATGCGACCAATTATGTAAGTGTATTTATGTAAGTGCGTTTGTATGTGTATGTTTGGGGGTCTGAAATGGACTAATCTACTTCACAATATTCCTTATGGGAACAAATTCGGTCAGTACTGGCACCTGAACATACTTCTGGAATGAAAAAATATCGTTAACCGGGGGTCTACTGTATTACCATCCTTATTCATAGTCTATGTAATATTACCATCATTATTCATAGTTATTGCCTAGCATATATACAAAAGCAAGATGGTTTACTGCTCACTGTTGTGAATCATTAGACTTTTTTCACCTTGGGATGATCCAAGAATGCTAGTCCACTGTGGAGTTCTCCTTCCATAAATTGTTTGGTGATAAGAATGTGTGATAAATTTATCTTGAAAATACAATTCATTGCTGCAGTTATTTATTATTTATTCCATTTGATGTAAGTATACAGTATATAATTATGGGGGAACGCTAAACCCGTAGGATTATACAGCGCATGTGGGGGATGATGGAAGGTATTCAGGCTCAATTCAGGGAACTGGAGCACAAATACAATTCCCTAGATCAAGAGCCCCTCACCAGCATCAGGGAACCTCCCTTGAAGGGTAAGTATATGATGTAAGTGGAAGTTGATCAAGACCCAGGTGCTGCTGCTGCCTATTTATTATTACAATCATTACTAAGTGCTAAACTCACAAACTTTTAAAAAATCCATGCATGTCATTTGGTACCAAGGTGAATGAAATAAAAAAAAAAAGCGGGGTTCAGTATAGGAATCAGTAGACTGTTGGGCTTGACTAAGACCAAGCAGGCATTAGAGTACGCACTGTCAGTGCTATGGCTACCACTAGCCCCTGTTATGGTTACTTATACTATACATACAATACAGAACTCGTCATTACCACTGGGGTCATTAGTACATTTAGTGCCTTCCCTTGTGGGTGCAATGGGGAGCTCGAGATGAAATAGTTTATTGTAATCCTGGTGCCTCTCCTGAGACTAGTAATGTGGGTGACAGTTGTTTATTTCTGGAAGTTGTGCAACAACTGACATTTAGTCATATTGCAACCTGACCACTTGTTTCTGTATTGTTACAATTATGGTAAAGTCCTAAACTCACAAGGGTCATGCAACAGCAGAGGACTAGAAGACAATGAGGTTTGCTATGAGGAAACAAGAGGGTAATTACAATTCCACAAATCAAGATACTTTCACCAGTACTGAGGCACTTCCCTGGAAGGTACTTACTGCTGTATTATTACAATAAAAGCCAAGTGCTAAACCCACAAGGGTCATACAGACTTACAGCTGTAACTGTTCACACTTTTGTCTTAAGTTGTGTCCCATACAGAGTACCCTCCGATATTATAATTAAGGGGGAAGCGCTAAACCCATAGGATTATACAGTGCCTAGGGGGGGAGGGCGAGATGTAGAAGGTATTCAGGCTTAATTCAGGGAACTGGAGTACAGATCCAATTCCCTAGATCGAGAGCCCCCTCACCAGCGTCAAGGAACCTCCTTTTAGAGGGGCTACCCTCCAATAATATTAATTACAGTCCTACCTGTTGTCTTTGCCTTGATGCCTAAATTGCTATCAGACCATCCTTATTCTTGCCCAGTGCCCTATACATACATTATTTTAATAATCATAACTAAGTGCTAAACCCTTAAGGGTCATACAGTACTGCAGGGTAGGGTGTGCTAAAGGCTTAACATGCTTGATCAGACTAACGAAGGGAGAGTATGACAGGCTGAGTTAGTAAGGATGGTGAGGAGTGCTACAGGAAGTATAATCAAAGTTTGTGTAATAAATCTTTTGCTGACAAAAAGTCAGAGAGAGTATCTGTGTCAATTATTATTATAATCAAGGGGGAAGCGCTAAACCCGGAGGATTATACAGCACCTGGGGGGGGGGGGATGTGGAAGGCATTCAGGCTTAATTCGGGGAACTGGAGCAGATCCAATTCCCTAAATCAAGAGCCCCTCACCAACATCAAGGAACCTTCCTTGAGGGGAGATCTGTGTCAAAAGTGGGCCCATCAGCAAGGAACATAAGATGCTCTGGAGAGAGTGACCATATCTTATGGCCAGGACTTTGACTGTTGTTTTATTTTACTTAGAGGGAAGACCTAAGTTTCTAGGAGTCATGTAGTGCCAGGAGAATGAGACAAATTCTGGTAAATCTAAGGAAGAGGAGGATAAATCTAGGTCCTTGGATCAGGAGCCCCTCACTGACATCAAGACACCCTGAGGAGAATTGGACCACATTAATACACTGATAAGCCTCTCCTCTCTTTTGCCAATTGTGCATAATAATAATAATGTCTTTGTCTTAATAATTCTAAGTTGTGTCAAAAGCTGCTACATGATATTCAACACTGATTCTGATGGCAACTTTGAATCACAACACTTGACTATACTATGCTACTGTAAAGTCTTCAGTCATGACTAATCAACATGCTTTATAAGCAGGAAAATCACATGCAACCGTCAGTAAACTTTTTTCATTAAATTTTACCATAATTAACAATATATACACAAACAATTACACCTTTGTCTTTCCCTTAAACAATAAAAAATACACTACAGTATATAAAAATATTTTTTTAAAGAAATGTTGCTAATATAAATCAATATTAAATGAAAGACACATAGTATAAAATATGTCTCTCAATGTCATAGTACAGACTAGAAAATGATAACACCTTATGTCTAAAAATTACGAGATAAATGTCTCTTACAAGACTCATTGGTGCACAAAAAATTATTAGCACCTTTAAAAATAAAGATGAATAAATACAGTATTACAGAATTAATAATGCATATATTCTGCTAATGAAAAGCATACAGTACTGTACTGAAATATATTTACCAATCTTGCAGTACTACAAGTAATACTGCAGTAATACAAGTGCCAGTCACACTTCTACATGACAAAGATAACTGTCAGGTCAAACAAGTGCCAGTCACACTGCTACATGACAAAGATAACTGTCAGGTCAAACAAGTGCCAGTCACACTGCTACATGACAAAGATAACTGTCAGGTCAAACAAGTGCCAGTCACACTGCTACATGACAAAGATAACTGTCAGGTCAAACAAGTGCCAGTCACACTGCTACATGACAAAGATAACTGTCAGGTCAAACAAGTGCCAGTCACACTGCTACATGACAAAGATAACTGTCAGGTCAAACAAGTGCCAGTCACACTGCTACATGACAAAGATAACTGTCAGGTCAAACAAGTGCCAGTCACACTGCTACATGACAAAGATAACTGTCAGGTCAAACAAGTGCCAGTCACACTGCTACATGACAAAGATAACTGTCAGGTCAAACAAGTGCCAGTCACACTGCTACATGACAAAGATAACTGTCAGGTCAAACAAGTGCCAGTCACACTGCTACATGACAAAGATAACTGTCAGGTCAAACAAGTGCCAGTCACACTGCTACATGACAAAGATAACTGTCAGGTCAAACAAATGCCAGTCACACTGCTACATGACAAAGATAACTGTCAGGTCAAACAAGTGCCAGTCACACTGCTACATGACAAAGATAACTGTCAGGTCAAACAAGTGCCAGTCACACTGCTACATGACAAAGATAACAGTTGCATGGGTGTGAGCTTATCATTATTATTACATTCATAAAATGCATCAAACCTCTGGTGTGCAAGTAGTCTTTACATACGAGACATTACTAAAACAATATTCCAGCAGTCAACAGTGTCCACGAGTTCTCAGTCACCACCAGCAGACTGGTGACCAAAAGTCACACCTTCTCATGAATTATTTTTATATTTTATAACTTTATACAAAATTATTAAACTGTTTCTATTTGTAAAAATGGTAACAAGATTTTGATTTAAATTATATATTTGTTTTACTACTGAACAGCAGATTAAAATTTTTTTTACAGAATTATAGCCAGTGTTACAGTAGCTAACAATACCCTGGTGATAAAAGGATATACGTATGTTCATATTTCAGTGTGCGTGAAATTTGGGCATCTGGAAGTCTACAAAAAGTACACCTGAGAGTAGGCAATATACAATAATACTGTTCACTTATATCTAAAAAATGCATATGTCTAAGTACAGTATTTCTTGAATTTTTTTTTTTACATTTTTAGGCTTATTCCCAAACTTAAAATTCACCCTCATAATCTCAGGAAATGTCAAAGGATTTAGCATTGCTACGAAATTTACTTAAAAAAAAAAAAAAAAAAAAAAAAAAAAAAAAATGGAACCCCCAACTCAGAATGGGCCACAAGCTGATAGCTAACAAACTAATTTTTTTTGAGGGGACTCAGTTTTTTTTTTTTTTTTTTTTTTTTTTTTCAACAAGTCAGCCGTCTCCCACCTGCACACTCAAGGAATAAACTTATGACGATCTTTCGGACCAGCTTGGACAATTAATTAATCACTCTAAATGATCCAAGTTGGACTGAAAAGTTGCCCCAAGTTTCTTTCTCATTTGTGCAGTTTATTTGTGTATTGTTTCAGTCCTGGTATTGTGCCTCATCGTTCTTTATACAATAATAAATTTCTGCTGGTGGCATACTGCTAAGTATTTTTTCAAACTGTAGAACATTTAAAAATACCCTAAAAGTTATAAAACAATGGAATCTGGATGCATTTCAGCAACTGTGTAAATTGTACTTGGAATGCTTCTATTATATCACAACCTCACTTGACAATGGGAAAGTTTATAACTTTTTGAGTTTAGCATGCATTAGGTATTAACTTTTATGCTCTAGTCAAGAGTTGAGCTAAAGGGATGGCATAGATGGTTCCCCAGGTAAATATACATATATATATATTTTTTTTTTTCAACAAGTCGGCCGTCTCCCACCGATAACAATAACAATATTAATTTATCCTAAAATAATTTTACTGTATATACTCAAAATGGGTTTAAGTTCAGATTTTAAGACCAGTGCTTCAGGTAGAATGGTAGTAGAGCGATTTATTTAGTTCACATGTTGGTTCGAGTACGGCCAGCAGTAACAGCCTGACTGATCAGGCCCTAATCCACCACGAGGCCTAACCATGGACCACCTGGAAAACCCCCCCAGGTATACTTGAGTATTTTTGGGTCAAAATTCATGCTTGTTGGGACTACCATACTAATTTGTTTAGAAGCATCAAAGGTAAAAACCACATTGAACACCCACATTCCACCAAAAATATAAAAATAAATTTGATTTTACACTTCAAAATACTATAAGTTGTCATGAGGCCCTCCCCCCCTATGTTACTTATTAGCAGTACTATGTTAGTTGATCACTGCTAGATAGGAGACTGATTCTCCTCTGCAGTACTGCTTGGTAGGAGACTGATTTTCCTCTGCAGCACTGCCAGGTAGGAGACTGATTCTCCTCTGCAGTACTGCTTGGTAGGAGACTGATTCTCCTCTGCAGTACTGCTTGGTAGGAGACTGATTTCCTCTGCAGTACTGCTTGGTAGGAGACTGATTTTCCTCTGCAGTACTGCTTGGTAGGAGACTGATTCTTCTCTCTAACAGTCTGAGTGTAGATACTGTTAGCACAAATTACTGCAGCTTATAAGAGAGGAAGCCATGGAGAGTATTTTACTTTTATTCGTTTAAAGTGCTAAATTCATGTAGGTTATTTGACACTACACAGCAAAAGGGAACAAGTAAAAAAAGAATGTTGTTCTGTCTCTCAAACACTAGAGTTGACTTATACACAAGACATAAGGCAAATTAAGGATTGGTTGGCAAAAAGTCATGGATCAGACTATACAAGGGATAAAACCAATGCACAAATAACCCACACACAGGAGAGACTTACGACAGTTTCGGTCCGACTTGTAAATGGTCCATGTAAGACCGAAACGTCGTCATAAGATTTATTTGTGTATTGTTTCAGTCACAGTATTGTGCCTTTTTGTTCTTTAAGATAAAACCTACACTAGAGTATGTTACTACTGAATAAATCCTATTAAAATACTGTATTATGCTTTCTTTGTTTTAACTGGCACATTCCAGTAGTACAGCAGCTGTGCCATGATGACACCATTGGCAAAGGTTGCAACACAGTATGTGAGAATGATGATTTGGTCACCAGTTTCCTGAATCGAGGTGAAGATACGGGCCATGGAGCCTAAGAAGAGCATTGCTACAGTGATTGCTGACAGTTGTCCTGTACTGCTGTTCCTGTAGTTGGCAAGGGCCTGTATCATCTGAAAGTAGATAAATCTTCATTAGCATAATTCTGCACAATAAAACTTTAAAGAGCTATCCTAGAATGAACATAATAATAATAATGATAGTAATTCTCCATGGGGAAGTGGAAAAGAATTCTTCCTCTGTAAACCATGCATGTTGTAAGATGCAAATAAATTTAACCCTTAAATGGTCCAAACGTATATATACGTTTTTCCAACATCTGAAAGTATGTAAAAAAAAATGTCGATCTTCTTTTTTGTTTTACATTTGAAAACGTGTAAAAAAAACTTTTATCTACATTTTTTTTGTTATATTTGAAAATATGTAAAAAAAAGTAGATCTACTTTTGTAGCAATACGAATTTTAACGTCGATCTGTTTGGACCGTTTAAGGGTTAAAAAGAAAAACTTCTTTCTTTTTAGGTCACCCTGCCTTGGTGGGATACGGCCAGTTTGTTAAAAAAATAATAATAATGATAATCTTTATTTCTACAAATACATGATCTAACTTAGTCTAGTTTACAGCAATGATGTATAATGAGCAATAATAAAGACAGTAACAGGATTATAGTCTGAGTCAATGTTATCTTCTTTGTACACACCAGCCGTGTCTGGCCAAGGTAGGGTGACCCAAAGACAAAAATATTGTCACTATTATAATCAATTTAAGAGCTAAACCCAAAAAGATTTTACATATAATTGCTTCATATTTAGCAATGTATAACACATTTTTCAGTGGGAACATCTGCAGGTGCTGGGATGACACTTGCTCTCTCAACAATACTTACTGGTCCACTCCCAAATATCTGAATGTATTCGCTTCCTCCATACTCCCTCCTACCAATCTCATATCCAAGCTTTCATTATTTAGATTGTTACCCCTCATCACTTTGCTCTTTCCTATGTTCACTCTTAATTTCCTTCTTTTACATACCCTCCACCAACCTTTGCAACTTCTCTTTGGAATCTGACTGAAGAAGAGTGTCACCAGCAAAAAGCAACTGTGACAATTCCCTTGTTGTATTAGATTCTGTATATTTCAGTCCGATACCTCTCCCCTACACCCTAGCATTCACTTCTCTATATCCCCATCTAAAAATATGTTAAACACATGGTGAAATCACACATCCTTGTCCAAGGCCTACTTTACTGGAAAATAATCTTCCTCTCTCCTACATACCCTATCATGAGCCTCATTATCTCATAATTATATAGTAACTATATACAGTGGACCCCCGCTTAACGATCACCTCCCAATGCGACCAATTATGCAAGTGTATTTATGTAAGTGCGTTTGTATGTGTATGTTTGGGGGTCTGGAATGGATTAATCTACTTCACAATATTCCTTATGGGAACAAATTCGGTCAGTACTGGCACCTGAACATACTTCTGGAATGAAAAAATATCGTTAACTGGGGGTCCACTGTATTTGCATTCTGTATAAAGATTTGACAGGAGTTAATGCACAAATTTAAAAAGGATATTCTAAACATAAACAATAAAATCAATCCTGTACAGTATGTACTAGACGAAATCTCACCTTTCCTGCAAATACAACAGGAATATTGCATGCTTGCAGAATCCATAGAATTTTCAATGCAACAAAACCAGATGACAATAGACCAGTCAAAATTGTTACAGTAGCAAAGAAGGCTATGGCACTTCCTGTTGATCCTCCATAGTGGTACACCAGAGCTCCAATTATAGCAGTCTGTATCAGTAGGAAGACTCCATCTCCATAGGAACTGCATAGACATGTAAACATAAAATTAACAAAAGCGTCTAAAACAAATAAGAACAACAAATGTGAATTTGGAAACTTTTACGAGTTTACATTTCAATATTATCCTACAATTCAGAAAGAAAACTTAATCTTTCACTCCATCATGAGTCACTGTTAAGCTATGATTAGTCCACAATAGACCAAAGTGTTTAGAATCACTGTCAAGCCATCACTGACCCAAAACAGGCAGAAACATTGTCGCAAATTTCCTCTCCAAATTGTTAGTTACTAATAAATTGTTAAAGCAATCGTATTGCTACTTATTCTTCTCTGAGAGTATACAGTTGAACCCAAAATAATTAAGTTATATCTAAAAGTACAATAGCATAAGGATTAATTAGCTAACCAATAACTTAATTTTAACTTTTCAATATAAGATACAGTAACTTTAATTGTACTTAACTACATATATTGCATGCACATAATTTCAGTCTACAACGATTTAAGAGTATTGTCTTTTGAATTAAAAATTACTACAGTACGTACAGTATATTAAAGCCCTCACCTGAAAGGGTATCCATTAACGAAGTTATAAGCTACATTAACGAGTATTGCAGTAAGTTCAAGAACAGTGCCAGTGATGCTGATCCCTTCGCCACTCTTCGCTGCTATGATCTTGACGATCTGGGGCATTTCACCAAAAAACGCCCCCCCAACGATGGCGGGGCCCTTAGCCCTTTGCGAGGCGTTTTTAAGCAAAGGGGGGGGATGGAAGAAGTTTTTTTAAAAATCTGGAGGGAATTTAATGAAATTGAAACAAAGTTTTATTCGGTATACAGAAATACAGTTACATAGATTATCATACATGGAAACATATGTGTTAGAAATCTAGGAAACCCAAAAAAAAAGCAAAGTGATTTTTTTCCCCTCCCCCTCAAGGAAGGTTCCTTGTGTTGTGAGGGGTTTTGATTTAAAAAATTTGGTCTGTGCTCCAGCCCCCCGAAAAAAGCCTGAATCCCTTTCCCCACATCCCCCCCCCGGCGTGTATAATCCCCCGGGTTTAGCGCTTCCCTTGTTTTATAATAATAATAAATAATTATTTCACTGAGGCCTTTTAAGTTTTTCCGAACTCAGATGCAGATTATGAAAAAGAATGACAGAAAATTCAAATTTGCTTTATAGTCAGAAAATGCCGCTCCCAGGGTAGTAAGGGAATGAGGGTTTTTTGATGAACAAAAAATTCCCCCTTATTAACCCATAAAGAAATCCCCCTTGGGGGAGCGACACAGAATTTTACCCCCTTAACATAAAGGGAAAAACCCTTGGGGGAGCTGACAAAAAATACAATTATTAATACAAAACGGAAAAAAAAACAAATAATTTTCCCGGAGGTTAGATAAATAAAAGGGGAGTACCTGTGGATAACCCAGGGGGTTTAAAAAAAACCCTTATAAACCTAAACAACCAGATATTTCAACAACCCGATCATCCAGGTACAACGAGGTGGTATTTAACCCCCGGTCCCAAACCAGGGAGGAATTTAAAATTCGACGAAGAATTGGTAAAAAACAGTCGGGAGTGAGGACAGGAGACACGCTGTTTAAAGATGGCTGCCATTGTTTATCTTGAGGTTCCCGGCACCAACACCACCCTGCCAGGTACGAACAATTAACCCCCCACCTCCCAGACGTGTGATAGATTAGTAAGAAAAGAAAGAAAATTTTTCAGGTTACAAAAAAGTTACAAGAATTATATACATGGCAGCATTGTGTGAGAACTGGGTAACCCAAAAAGTAGACCCGGTGACTTTTTTTCCCTTTGGGGGTCCTTTTACCTTATTTTTTAAAATATAAAGGTTTAAAATATTTTCTTATTATTCTATATGAAGATAACTCTTATTTCATCTAAAAGATATTAAATCACGAGGGTAAATTTAAGACTTTTACAATACGAGGGTCATTACTAGGGTTTAAAGGGAAATTTAAGTATTTTAGCTAAAAAAATAGAAAAACTTCCCTCCCTTTTTGTTTCTTCATTTATAGACCTTTTGGCTCTTCTTTAATGGGTTTAGCTATGACTGCCTTAAATTTTTGGGTTGTCTGTTCCATTCCCTTTTTTGCTGTACAATAAAAGGGTTGAAGCCTGGCCCTGACTTTGGGGTTTAAAAAAGTTGTGTCTCTCCCCCTAGTACTATGATTGCTTTGGTTCCCAACCTTTTCAAAATTGGGCGCAAAATATTCTGGACACGTTGTGAGCAATTTTATAAATGATTTAGCTTCAGTTGTTTTACTCTGTCTTAACATTTAGCTATCAACTGCTGTAATTATCCCGGCCACATGTTCTTTGGTCCCAGCCCAGGATGATCTTGATTTTGTTCTGGGTGTTTGCAGCTATCTTCAGTTTTTTTTTTCAAGGGGAGTCCAAAGAGCAAAAAGTAATCATATGGCATTTTTTTTAAGGGCTGACATAGGGTCCTGCGAGCCTCGTAGGTGGCACGTGTTGTCTTACAGGAACTTCGTAGGGGGTTTCCCTTTCTTTTTACACTGTTCCCCATCAATTCTTGACATGCATGGATCAAAGGGGATTCCAAAATTTTACTGATGAAACCAAAAATGAGGGCTCCCCTTAAATTGAACTTAAAATTATTTCCCTTTTAATTTTTGTTTTTGCCAAAAAAGAATGGCTTCAGTTTTCCCTTGGGGTAAAGTAGTTTGTTATACTAAACCATTTCTGCAGGACTCAGTTCCCCCGTGTTTAAAAATTTGCAAAATTTGTGGGGTCTTTACCCGACATAAAAAGGCATTATTGCTACAGTAGGAGTTTGCATTGACACTGTAGGGGTTTCATTGACATAACATAAGAAAAAATAAGGGGCCCAGAAAAATACCCCGGGGAATCACAGTTATCGGCAGGGGGTTTTGATTTGTTTTTGTTGATTTATTTTTGTTCCTGTTGCAAGGTAGGACTTAAACCAGTCTACAGAAAATATACTATAGCTGAAATTTTTTAAATATATATTGTGGTTGCGTTCGAAAGGTTTTTTTAGGTTAAAGGGTTTCCTCCCATGAGGTTCCCCCTTTGATTTTGTTCTCAGGTAAACCATCAGTTAAAAAGGGAAGGGGTCGGTGGTAGGGTCTTCTAAAACCCGATTGTAATATTTTCCTGGGTTTTCTGGGAGAGTTGGGGGTCAACGCCCCCGCGGCCCGGGCGTACCCGGCCCCTGTTTTATTAAAGGGACTTAACTATGGAATACCGCCCTTTCTAGAATTTTTGATATTTTAATGAGTATCTAACAAATATAGTTGTTCATAGAAACCCCTATTTTTCTTGAAATAGGGGTCTCTGGCCCCTTGAACCTCCGGTCGGTATTAGTGGGGATGATGATTTTTTGTAGCAATAGGGTTGACAGTTCAGAAAACCCTGTTTTAGGGGAAATTAGAGGGTGTTAGAGGCTGTGTCTTGTTGGGTTAACCCGCTTAGTTCTTTTAAATAAAGTCATGAGATCACTTATAGTTGACAATGTTTGGGTTGCCCCTTTTTGGATGTATGTTGAAATTTCGAGTTGTGTTAAGGGATTTGATGAGCTGGTAGTTTTTTCTGTGTTGATGAACAGATGGTAGTAGAATTAAAATCAATTTTTCCACTTAGTGTTTGGGCATACCCCTTTCGATAGTGGTACTTGTTAGACCCTTTTTCTGGCTTTTTGGCTTACCCCAAATGTTTTTTTTGTTGCCCGAGCTTTTGGGGTTTGCTTGTACTCTTAAATTTTTGAGCGTATGCTTTTCCTTTTCTCCTTTTTTAAGCTCTTACTTTTTCCTCCCTTTGGAAAATTTAATTTTTTTTGCATTATCCCGTTGTTTTCTTTTTAAAATTTTTTTGCAGTGGTCTCTGAATTTCAAAAAAATTATGACTTTTAGGTGCTTGTCCAGTGCCAGCTTGAAGACTGCCAGGGGTCTGTTGGTAATCCCCCTTATGTGTGCTGGGAGGCAGTTGAACAGTCTCGGGCCCCTGACACTTATTGTATGGTCTCTTAACGTGCTAGTGACACCCCTGCTTTTCATTGGGGGGATGGTGCATCGTCTGCCAAGTCTTTTGCTTTCGTAGTGAGTGATTTTCGTGTGCAAGTTCGGTACTAGTCCCTCTAGGATTTTCCAGGTGTATATAATCATATATCTCTCCCTCCTGCGTTCCAGGGAATACAGGTTTAGGAACCTCAAGCGCTCCCAGTCTTCTAAGGTCTTCTAAGAACTGGTCCTGGGTAGGAGGGCGGTAACTAGTTCCTACTAAGATGGGTTTGGTCTTAGGAAGCAGCACTTCAAACCATAGAATCTCCAGTTTATTGTTATTTAAATCAGGTCTTGGGTTGTAAGCTAAGTCATTTCTAATGTAGGCACATACTCCACCACCCTTTCTGTTCCTATCTAAGCGTTTTATATTGTAACCTTCTATTTTGACCTCGTCGTCACTCACCGTATCATCCAACCAAGATTCAGAGATGGTTATAACTGCCGCCCTAATTTTGTTAGCTAGAATCCTAATCTCTGCCAATTTAGGAAGAAGTGATCTTGCATTGACATGAATAAAGTGAAGGCCTGTTTTCATAAAACAATCATAATCATCAATATATGGCAAAATGAATTTTTTATGAGAGAGCCACAAAATTTGACTAACACAAGCCTATCCGATGTTATCCTGACGCCAAATGACTTCGAACAGGCGATAAATGACATGCCCATGCACTCTGCCCCAGGGCCAGACTCATGGAACTCTGTGTTCATCAAGAACTGCAAGAAGCCCCTATCACGAGCCTTTTCCATCCTATGGAGAGGGAGCATGGACACGGGGGTCGTCCCTCAGTTACTAAAAACAACAGACATAGCCCCACTCCACAAAGGGGGCAGTAAAGCAACATCAAAGAACTACAGACCAATAGCACTAACATCCCATATCATAAAAAATCTTTGAAAGGGTCCTAAGAAGCAAGATCACCACCCATCTAGAAACCCATCAGTTACACAACCCAGGGCAACATGGGTTTAGAACAGGTCGCTCCTGTCTGTCTCAACTACTGGATCACTACGACAAGGTCCCAAATGCACTAGAAGACAAAAAGAATGCAGATGTAATATATACAGACTTTGCAAAAGCCTTCGACAAGTGTGACCATGGCGTAATAGCGCACAAAATGCGCGCTAAAGGAATAACAGGAAAAATCGGTCGATGGATCTATAATTTCCTCACTAACAGAACACAGAGAGTAGTCGTCAACAGAGTAAAGTCCGAGGCAGCTACGGTGAAAAGCTCTGTCCCCACAAGGCACAGTACTAGCTCCCATCTTGTTCCTCATCCTCATATCCGACATAGACAAGGATGTCAGCCACAGCAACGTGTCTTCCTTTGCAGATGACACCCGAATCTGCATGACAGTGTCTTCCATTGCAGACACTGAAAGGCTCCAGGCGGACATCAACCCAAATTTTTCAGTGGGCTGCAGAAAACAATATGAAGTTAAACGATGAGAAATTTCAATTACTCAGATATGGTAAAATGAGGAAATTAAATCTTCATCAGAGTACAAAACAAATTCTGGCCACAAAATAGAGCGAAACACCAACGCCCAAAGACCTAGGAGTGATTATGTCGGAGGATCTCACCTTCAAGGACCATAACATTGTATAAATCGCATCTGCTAGAAAAATGACAGATGGATAATGGAACCTTCAAAACTAGGGAGGCCAAGCCCATGATGACACTCTTCAGGTCACTTGTTCTATCTAGGCTGGAATATTGCTGCACTCTAACAGCACCTTTCAAGGCGGGTGAAATTCCCGACCTAGAAAAATGTACAGAGAACTTTCACGGCGCGCATAACGGAGATAAAACACCTCAATTACTGGGAGCGCTTGAGGTTTTTAAACCTGTATTCCCTGGAACGCAGGAGGGAGAGATACATGATTATATACACCTGGAAAATCCTAGAGGGACTAGTACCAAAAATTGCACACGAAAATCACCCCACTACGAAAGCAAAAGACTTGGCAGACGATGCACCATCCCCCCAATGAAAAGCAGGGGTGGGCACTAGCACGTTTAAGAGACCAACCAATAAGTGTCAGGGGCCCGAGACTGTTCAACTGCCTCCCAGCACACATAAGGGGGATTACCAACAGACCCCTGGCAGTCTTCAAGCTGGCACTGGACAAGCAACTAAAGTCAGTTCCTGATCAGCCGGGCTGTGGCTCGTACGTTGGTTTGCGTGCAGCCAGCAGCAACAGCCTGGTTGATCAGGCGCTGATCCACCAGGAGGCCTGGTCACAGACCGGGCCGCGGGGGCGTTGACCCCCGAAACTCTCTCCAGGTAAACTCCAGGTAATGGGTCATTTGGAAATAAGTCACTCTGTCTGACTTTTTTGTTATCCCAGGTTCTCTACACATATGCTGCCATGTATGATAATTCTATGTAACTGTATTTGTGTATACCTGAATAAACTTACTTACTTACTTACTAATGTCATCACTGCTAAAGGGTAACTGTGCCAAAGTGCATTTGTTACACACAAAATGAATTCTGGCACCGTTGCTATAATTGTACATACATCCATCATGCACCCACCCCTTACACATTTTACATAAGGTGCCTTTTCTGTTTTTAATGCTTACTTTAGTACAGTGTATGCACCTGTTTGGTAGTGTTTGAGATAATAATGGCTGTATTGTCTCACATTGACCTATGTATGCATTACATATGGAGTTAAGGTTATCATTCCTAGCTACTAGACCGTCATTATCGCCGTCATTTATCTGTCTGTTTTGCCTCTGCACAATAGTTTGAGGTCCTGGATTAATTTGGATATCACCACTTAAGAGCGCTACAATAAGATGTGTGCCACTGTTTTTGTTTGGGTATGCTTGAGGTTCCTAAACCTGTATTCCCTGGAATGCAGGCGGGAGAGATACATGATTATATACAGCTGGAAAATCCTAGAGGGACTAGTACCGAACTTGCACACGAAAACCACTCACTACGAAAGCAAAAGACTTGGCAGACGATGCAACATCCCCCCAATGAAAAGCAGGGGTGTCACTAGCACGTTAAGAGACCATACAATAAGTGTCAGGGGCCCGAGACTGTTCAACTGCCTCCCAGCATACATAAGGGGGATTACCAACAGACCCCTGGCAGTCTTCAAGCAGGCACTGGACAAGCACCTAAAGTCGGTTCCTGACCAGCCGGGCTGTGGCTCGTACGTTGGTTTGCGTGCAGCCAGCAGTAACAGCCTGGTCGATCAGGCTCTGGTCCACCAGGAGGCCTGGTCACAGACCGGGCCGCGGGGGCGTTGACCCCCGGAACTCTTTCCAGGTAAACTCCAGGTATGTATATTTTTTCCATTTAGATTTGATTACCTCCTTTCCCGGGGGGAGGGGGGAAATGGTGCACTGCCCCTACTGGTTTAGAGCTCCCCCATAAGGGCAAATTATGAGTACTAGAGAGTGTTGGAGGCTCGATCCACCGTCCGTCCCCTTGTTAATTACCCCTAAATGAATATCACTGTAATGGCTGAGGCAGCAGTAGCTCTCTCTGGGGGATTCCTGCCCAGGTGATCAACATGATACCGGTCTGGGGGATACTCCATCACGTACTGATATTGGGATATTAATCCAAGGGATTCCTGTCTGGGTGACCTTGTTGTTACATGGTCCTGATGATGGTTCAGGATTATACACTGGTAGTGGTGTTTTGTTAGTATGGTATCCCTAGATATGGCCCCTCATGGTATCCATAGATGATAATGACCCTTATGGTATCCCTAGTTATGGCTTCCTCATAATGTCCATAGATGATAATGGCCCTTATGATATCCCTAGAAGCTAATGGTCCTCATGGTATCCCAAGAAGATAATGACCTTATGGTATCCCTCTTCTTTGATGGAGCAAAGACACTTCCTCTGAACGTATTTGCTTGTACTTCCTCCTCTTTCAGCAACATTGCAAGCTCCTGATGATGTGTTGATAACAACACGAAAGGCCTAGAGCTATCATTCAACCCCCCAGTAGCTGTTTTACATAATAACATATGTGTAAATTACCCAATGTAACGCACCTTTCGTAATTCATTCTGATCTAAATATTATAGACCCAGGCCCAGCATGGTCCTCATTATCTAATTTTGGGTGACTATTCAAACAGCACCTGGGGCATTGGAGGTACCTAGGTTTGGTCTGAGGAAAGGAAGGGTAGCTCCAATTCCTCTGAAAAAGAGCCCTTCAGGAGGAACATCAAGGCAGATACCTTGATGTACTTGAATTCAATAAGGATTTGGGGTCTTACAAAGGACCCCAATGGAAATAAGTCACTGACTTTTTTGGGTTATCCTGGGTAATTTACACTATGTATAATAATTGTACTTATGTGTACCTGTACCTAAAAACTTACTTACTAGGTACACATAGGTAAAATTATCGTAAATAAGCTTATTTAGTCACATAACTACAATTATCATAGTGTAAATTACCCCGGGTACCCCAAAAAGTCAGACAAAGTGACTTATTTCCATTGAAATCACTTTAACTTCTTTTTAAGGGTTACCCTAAGTAATTTACACACCCATTACACCATATAAGACAATTGCAATAACTCAAAATTGCAAATGAACCTAAAAAAAAGATATTTGCAGAGTCCAGCAGACACAGCATCACCCAATACCATTCTCTCTGTGTGAAGACCATCATAGAAGATGATGGATTATTATTATTATTCTCGTTATTTTTATTACTACGTTAATGGTGGAGAGCTCTAAACCCTTAAGAGGTCACTCAGAGCCTGGGAAATTGGAAGCAAACAGGTACATTGGACAGGAGAGGGAGGATATGTGATATCCTGAGTGGTGGGAGGAGGCTGATGGCAGCAGGTGTCATCCAGCTGGTCAGGGAGCACCAGCTACACTCATCTAGCTGGTCAGGGAGCACCAGCTACACTCATCTAGCTGGTCAGGGAGCACCAGCTACACTCATCTAGCTGGCCAGGGAACACCAGCTACACTCATCTAGCTGGTCAGGGAACACCAGCTACACTCATCTAGCTGGCCAGGGAGCACCAGCTACGCTGTCCAGCTGGCTAGGGAGCACCAGCTACGCTCATCTAGCTGGCTAGGAGCACCAACTACACTCGTCTAGCTGGCCAGGGAACACCAGCTACACTCTTCTAGCTGGCCAGGGAGCACCAGCTACGCTGTCCAGCTGGCCAGGGAGCACCGGCTACACTCCAGCTGGCCAGGGAACACCAGCTACACTTATCCAGCTGGCCAGGAAGCACCAGCTGCTCTACAACCATCAGCTGCACACATGTAATTACACTGAGGTAGTCACTTGAGGTTCCACCTGAGAGCTCTCCCAGGGTCGTCCTTAACCTCCAGCACCTCCCCCAGGGTCGTCCTTAACCTCCAGCACCTTCCCCAGGGTTGTCTTTAACCTCCAGCACCTCCCCCAGGGTCGTCCTTAACCTCCAGCACCTCCCCCAGGGACGTCCTTAACCTCCAGCACCTCCCCCAGGGTTGTATTTAACCTCCAGTACCTCCCTCAGGGTTGTCTTTAACCTCCAGCACCTCCCCCAGGGTTGTCCTTAACCTCCAGCACCTCCCCCAAGGTTGTCCTTAACCTCCAGTACCTCCCCCAGGGTTGTCCTTAACCTCCAGTACCTCTCCCAGGGTTGTCCTTAACCTCCAGTACCTCCTCCCAGGGTTGTCCTTAACCTCCAGTACCTCCCCAGGGTTGTCCTTAACCTCCAGCACCTCCCCCAGGGTTGTCCTTAACCTCCAGCACCTCCCCCAGGGTTGTCCTTAACCTCCAGCACTTCCCCCAGGGTTGTCCTTAACCTCCAGCACCTCCCCCAGGGTTGTCCTTAACCTCCAGTACCTCTCCCAGGGTTGTCCTTAACCTCCAGTACCTCTCCCAGGGTTGTCCTTAACCTCCAGCACCTCCCCCAGGGTTGTCCTTAACCTCCAGCACCTCCCCCAGGGTTGTCCTTAACCTCCAGTACCTCTCCCAGGGTTGTCCTTACCTCCAGTACCTCTCCCAGGGTTGTCCTTAACCTCCAGCACCTCCCCCAGGGTTGTCCTTAACCTCCAGCACCTCCCCCAGGGTTGTCCTTAACCTCTAGTACCTCTCCCAGGGTTGTCCTTAACCTCCAGCACCTCCCCCAGGGTTGTCCTTAACCTCCAGCACCTCCCCCAGGGTTGTCCTTAACCTCCAGTACCTCCTCCAGGGTTGTCCTTAACCTCCAGCACCTCCCCCAGGGTTGTCCTTAACCTCCAGCACCTCCCCCAGGGTTGTCCTTAACCTCCAGTACCTCCTCCAGGGTTGTCCTTAACCTCCAGTACCTACCCCAGGGTTGTCTTTAACCTCCAGCACCTCCCCCAGGCTTGTCCTTAACCTCCAGCACCTCCCCAGGGTTGTCCTTAACCTCCAGCACTTCCCCAGGGTCGTCCTTGGCCTCCAGCACCTCCCCCAGGGTAGCAGTATATGTGTAGAGAATCCAGGATAACCCAAAAAAGTCGGACAGTGATTTATTCCCATTGGGGTTCTTATTCAGTAATACCTAAAGTGTTACTGGATAACCCAAGACGGGCAGTGTATCATGGAGGGACTGACTGTCTTATTTCCACTGGGGTTCTTAATCTTGTCCCCCAGGATGCAACCCACATGAGTCAACTAACACTCAGGTACCTACTTGCTGCTAGGCGAATAGGACAATACGTGTAAGGACACACATCCATTGATAACCAATTGTTTTTATAAATGGATGATAGTACCAGTGGAAATAAGAGTTGGCTCTTGTCTCACAAGTTAGTTAGTTTAATATGTTTATTATGCACCCCATACCCATCCTGTGGGTGGTAGTCAAAAGATTACAGAGGTACATAATTGGTCCAGGGACTGGACTCCAAAGTTTTGATAGCTGAGCAAGTTACAGAGGTAATGAACTCACAATTTACAAAGGTAATGAACTCACAATTTACAAAGGTAATGAACTCACAATTTACAAAGGTAATGAACTCCAGGTAGGTCTGGTCACAATCATGACAAGTTACAAAGGTATTTCCTTGCAGCCAGCAGCAACAGCCTGGTTGATCAGGCTCTGATCCACCAGGAGGCCTGGTCACAGACCGGGCCGCTGGGGCGTTGTCCCCCGGAACTCTCACCAGGTAAACTCCAGGTAAACAGATTACAGAGGTACGTAATGGGTCCAGGGACTGGGCCCCCAAAGTTTTGATAGCTGAACTAGGTACAAAGGTAATGAGCTCACAAGTTACAAAGGTAATGAATTCTGTAGAATGGTTACTTACGTTTATACATGGCTACAATCATGAACAAATTATAGTGTAATGAGCAATTCACACTTCCACACCTGGTCACAACTGTAATGAGTTATTGGTGCAAATATTGATTGTTGAGACACACACACACCACACACACACACACCACACATATAACTGCCTAACAGACCAGTTAGACCTAACCTGAGGTTAAGTGTGTTTATGAAGTAGGTTTATTTAGGCACAGGTACACATAAGTACAATTATCATACTTAGTGTATATTACCTAGGATAACTCCCTCAAATAGAGTTCTTATTAATATTATAATTAAGTGCTAAACCCATGTGGGACAAACAGTGCTGCAACTGTTATGCCAAAAAATAACACACATGTTAGTCTAACATGAATATAATTCTTGAAAAACATTTTATTTAGTCTTGGCTAATAATAATTTAGGGTTGCTTGTCTGGTATACAGGAGCTAGAGCTCAACATTCTATGCCTTAAAGTAAGGCATTGCAGGTCAGGGAAAATTTTGAAAGTATAGCTTTTTCTATAAGCAGGAATTTTGGAATTCTTATACAGTGACTCGATGATCTTTCAATAGTATCATAACATTGGATTTTTCTAGAAATCTTTCCATATCTATTTTTTTATTTATTGATTGCTTTGCACAAACTTAAAAGTCTCGCAGTTATATGATAACCAAATTAGCGCAATTTATTAATAAAATAAATGTTTCCAGAGTGAGAGGAACAGATGACTGTGCCAGAACATGCTCAAAAGGATAACACGATGGCAGTGGATATCAAGGTTTTGACCTTAAATGTTTGGTGAGTTGTCATTCAAATATTTTCATTGTACAGGCAGGCCCCGCTTCCATAGCAGGTTAGGTTCCGAGCTACTGTTGTTATCAAAAATCGCTGTAATGTGAAACGTAACCTTTCTTTCACTGTCAAATGTGTATAAAAGTCTGATAACATATTTACACTATCTTATATTAAGTGAACAATAGAACTAGGCTAAAAAATGCATATATAGTACACACATTACTTACTTTAAAATGTTTTCGTTCTTAGCTTATAGTAAGTTATTCTCTATAAGGATTACAATGCTGAGTTTACAGAAATTTGGTTATTGTGTGGTTTACATGTAGTAAAATAATGATTACAGAGTGTACCACTAGAACGCTTAGCATGGCTAGGCATTTCGGGCAGATTTAGTTTTATTCTTAATTGTAAAATATTACAAATTATGAGGTAAGTTGGTATTATGGCTAAGTGACTAAATACTAGTTTGTGAGTTTAGCAATGTAAATGCTTTTGTTTTGGCACAGTACATAGTTTCAGTATTGGAGTATCACAGGATTCATTATTTTAAGATTGAGATTAATATTTCTGTTTATGGTCAAATGAGTCAGTGAGTGTAAGTGTGAACCACCAGGTGGTATTCGTATAGTTAGTAGACAGGGTGTATCAGGGAGATAAGATGTTTTCTAATGGTAGTTTTGAAGGTGATGAATGTGTCTGCAGTTTTAGAGTTCTCAGGTAGGGTATTCCAGATTTTAGGGCCTTTGACATACATTGAATTTTTGTAAAGGTTTAGTCGGACACGGGGAATGTCGTAGAGATGTTTGTGTCTGGTGTTATGCCTGTGGGTTCTGTCACAACTATCAAGAAAGCGTTTTAGGTCAAGGTTGATATTAGAGTTTAAGGCCCTGTAGATGTAGATTGCACAGTAGTAAGTGTGGATGTACTGAACAGGGAGTAAGTTTAGGTCTATGAAGAGTGGGGGGGTGTGTTGCCAGGGATGGGATTTAGTGATTATTCTTACTGCAGCTTTTTGTTGGGTTATTATTGGCTTTAGGTGTGTTGCTGCAGTTGATCCCCAAGCACAAATAGCATAGGTGAGGTATGGATAAATAAGTGAGTGGTATAGTGTGAGAAGGGCATTTTGCGGCACGTAGTAACGTATCTTGGAGAGGATCCCAACCGTTTTGGATACTTTTTTGGTTATATGCTGGATATGGGTGCTGAAATTCAGGTTGTTGTCAAGGTATAAGCCTAGGAATTTGCCCCCATTATTTCTGGTAATTAGAGTGTTGTCAATCTTAATGTTAATTTGTGCATCTCCTGCTCTGCTACCAAACATAATATAGTAGGTTTTGTCAGTGTTAAGCGTAAGTTTATTGGCTGTCATCCAAGTCGATATTTTGATCAGCTCCTCATTCACAGTGGTGTTGAGGGTGGCAAGATTAGGGTGAGAGATGACATAAGTCGTGTCGTCAGCAAAAAGAATGGGTTTCAGGTGTTGGGATACGTTTGGAAGGTCATTGATGTATATGAGGAAGAGCAGGGGACCAAGGACACTTCCCTGCGGAACTCCAGTATCAAGTGGCCGTGTTGCTGATGCTGTGTCTTTAATGGTGACATACTGATACCTATTAGTAATGTAAGATTTGAAATAAGCAAGCGCATGGCCTCTTATACCGTAATGATCAAGTTTGTGGAGTAGGATGTCGTGGTCTACTGTGTCAAAAGCTTTTCTTAGGTCAATAAAAATTCCTAGTGGTGAATATATATAATGTATTGTAGGAAGTCTGAATAAATGAAGAATGGGTATAATTGAAAACCACAGCATTACCCAAACGCTGTAAAGTGAAGCACTGTAAAACAGGGCCTGCCTGTATCAAGAAATCATGGTACTGAGGAAAGGTCGGGCAGTGTGTGTGCTTATGTGCCCCAGTGATGTGTTTGTTTTATAAAAAAGTAAACCCTTGTATTAAAAGCCTTTAGAAGTATGGGATGATATGAATGTTAGTTAATTTGTAAAGAGCAGACCAAGTCTATTATTTAGAGAATTGTTCATTAACCTTAATGTGGTGTTCACAGGTGTGGGTCATGAAATAGAACTGTGATAAGCCTCACACATGCTTCACATGTTTTGCAGTTTTTAACAATAAATTCTGATTAGAATGTATATTTTAATATTTGTCCTCACTGGGTACATTGTGTGTGGGTATAACAGATGAAAGCTGTTTCTAGAAGCATATCTCTCTTGGGTTAATGTTACAGCCACGGTAAAGCAACCTTGAGCCACCACAGTCATCCATCATTGGCCATCCATGCTCACCCCATTATAATAATATCTTTATCTCTACAAGTACATGTACAAAGTATACAGGCCTAGCTGACATCAATGACATACTTCTACATATATGGAAAGTCCCTTGTTATGCAGGGCACTTCGGGCAGATTAGGTCAATTTTGTCCCAGGATGTGACCCACACTAGTCAACTAACACTCGGGTACCTATTTTACTAATGGTGAACATGGACAGCAGGTGTCTTATGGAAATACATTAAGCCGAGGGTTTGCTATTAAAAGATCTCACTTTGATTAGTATGTCATAGGTCAAAGGTTTTAGAGTTAGAACAAAGGCACATACTTATTAGTTTCTTTGTGTGTTAGTAATTTTCTCATTCAGCCAGAACACTTTAACCCTTAAACGGTCCAAACGTATATATACGTTCACGCGCGTAGCGCTCCAAACGTATATATACGTTTTCTTTTTCATTCATTCAACATTGCCACAATAAGCCTGAGTCACCTAGACATGAGAGAATGGGTGTGCACACTCACTGTGTTCCATATTAAAATAATTGGGGATGCCTGGGTACCATATGCTCTTTTTTCCTTTTAAAAGAAAAGATTTCTTTTTTCCTCAAAAAATTTGGGGCGCTACGCGAGTTAACATATATATACGTTTGGACCGTTTAAGGGTTAAAACTATCTACACATGGTGGTTGGAGACCGTGCTGATGCACTACTAGATAATAATTGTTTTTTTTCCAATAAGTCGGCTGTCTCCCACCGAGGCAGGGTGACCCAAAAAGAAAGAAAATCCCAAAAAGAAAATACTTTCATCATCATTTAACACTTTCACCTCACACACACATAATCACTGTTTTTGCAGAGGTGCTCAGAATACAACAGTTTAGAAGCATATACTACGTATAAAGATACACAACATACCCCTCCAAACTGCCAATATCCCAGACCCTTCCTATATTAGATTCTTCTTCTTCTTCTTCTGTTGGGTTTCAGGGCCACTGACAGCATACGCAGTATCGAGCCCGGCCGTCCAGTGCTAGGAGAGGAAATATCGACCAAAGTGGAAGAATGTCTTGACTAATAACTATGTATCATATGTCTCTGATATGCTGAAGCCAGCAGGAAGGAGCAGGTACAGGCCAATATCTCCTGACGGTCCAGAGGGCGAAACCCCTCCCCAAGTGTGCACAAGGTCGCATGGAGAGTAGTCCGTGCAGAGTGATAACATGGGCACCACAGCAGGAAGTGTTCCACCGTCTCAGGCTGTGAGGGACACCATGGGCAGTACGGAGAGTCCGTCATCCGAAGGCAATATAGATGAGCTGCCAGTCGCGAGTGCCCAACTCGAAGGCGAGTCAGTGCAACGTCCACCAAGCGGTTGGGATGGATTTATTTTAATAATTTGCCATCTCAAATACCCAGCGGAAAACTCCCTCTTTCCCCCACCATTGTGAAATGAAGCGGGAATATTTTCTTAAGAACGTTTACCCTTCAAGGAGTGCCATGATGCTAGTGAAGGGCTCTTGAGTCAGGAAATTGGAGCTACCCTCCACTTCCTCTGCTTATAGCTGATTACCTTTCATTCTTAGTCGCTAAACCATGGATTTGGCATTTCTCCATGAAAATAATCAAGCACATGTGCCAACTTCCAAACAGCAAAAGCTTTCAGATACTTTCTTCAGCAGTTACATAAAGTATGTATATGTGTATATTTTTTTTTTTTTAATATACCGACTGTCTCCCACCAAGGCAGAGTGACCCGATAAAAAGAAAATTATAAAGTTTACCTTCTTTTAACATTTAGTAATATGTACAAAATAACCACAGGAGGAGTTGAATGATAGCTCTAGGCCTTTTGTTTTGCAATCAACAGATCATCAGGAGCTTGCAGTGATGCAGAAATATAGTAGGAACTCCAGGCAGATTTATTTTTTGGGAACGACTTTCCAGAATCTAAAGAGAGTCGTTTCCCTGAATGAATCTTCCTGGATTTTCTACTCATTTCTGCAACATTATAAGCTCCTGATATATTGATTGTAACACGAAAGGCCTAGAGCTGTCACCTGTTTATTGTGATCTTATTGCAGCATATGCCTACATATATACACATTATCTTACTTTTTTGCTGTTTTAGGGGGATACCTGTCATTTCCAAGAACAGGGAAGCGCGCATGGAAGCTATCGGAAACCAGCTCATCACGGGACCAGATGAATATGATTTTGTGTTTCTCCAAGAAGTCTGGTCTAAGGCAGACTATTGTTTCTTAGCATCTAAAGTGAGTAATGTTTCTAAAGTGAGTTGAACTGTAGATGGTCCTCGACTTACGATGGGGTTATGTTTTGACGAACCCACCGTAAGTTGAAAATATCAAATTCAAAATTTTTATTTCTTTGCATTGTATACAATGTGTAGTTTACATGTAATAAAATATTATTAAGAACAAAGAAAGGCACTAGCATTCATGTGCATTTTGGGTAAATTAATGGTGAGTAAATAAATACAGCCTCTCCTCACTTAACGACGGAGTTCCGTTCCTAAGACCACATTGGTAAACAAATTCATCACTAAGTGAGGAGCATACTATACTGGTAGCAGGTTTATGTCAACCATCTTTGATATTGTTTTAATGTCACCTTTGCACCATTTATAACATTTCTGGTATATTTTTAAATGTTTATACAGTACATGTATACTGTATATTGTAATAAGCAGAATAGAGGAAATCAGCTCTAATATATATATTATTTAGATATACATACTGGTCAGAGAGCCCATCGTAAGTCTGAGTTGTTGGTAAACGAGTACGTCACTAAGTGAGGAGAGGCTGTACTAGTATTGAAAATTAAATAAATGAATACAAGTTTATTTATTTTTTTTTTTTCAACAAGTCGGTCGTCTCCCACCGAGGCAGGGTGACCCAAAAAAAAGAAAGAAAATCCCCAAAAAGAAAATACTTTCATCATCATTCAACACTTTCACCACACTCACACATTATCACTGTTTTTGCAGAGGTGCTCAGAATACAACAGTTTAGAAGCATATACGTATAAAGATACACAACATATCCCTCCAAACTGCCAATATCCCAACCCCCTCCTTTAAAGTGCAGGCATTGTACTTCCCATTTCCAGGACTCAAGTCCGACTATATGAAAATAACCGGTTTCCCTGAATCCCTTCACTAAATATTACCCTGCTCACACTCCAACAGATCGTCAATAAAGGGACTATACATGCTCTCCGCAAGTTTATACTATCAATAAATGTACAGTATTGTACAAAACAAAAAAGAAAGTTTTACAGTTCATCGACTTGATTACTCACCATCGTAAAGTTGAAATATCGTAAGCCGAAGTAAGGAGCACCTGTATTGAGAATTCTGAATTTTGGCCAGTGCTGTATAACCCTTGTGGGTTTAGAGCTTAGTATTGATTATAATAAAATAATATTCAGAATTTTTGGAAGTTTTCTTTTTCCAAAATAAAATCATTTTAGTAGTTGATTTTTAGAGGATTCGCAATATAGCGAAACCTTAATTTAACACAATACAGTGGAACCTCAAATATCGAACTTTCTTCAGTACAGAAGGCTGTCCGAGTGCTGTTACCGAATGAATTTATTCCTATCAGGAATAATGTAAATTAGATTAGTCCATTTCAAGCCCTCAAAAATACACTTATAAAAACACTTACAAAAATACACTTACATAATTGGTTGAGTTGAGAGCAGTTCGATTTTTGAGGTTCCACTGTATTAGGTGATGACATCATTTTTTCATGCTCTTAATAATAACAGAGACTTCTGGATATAGTGGATTTTAATCGAATAACATTTTTGTTGATTAAATCTGAAATTTGTTAAATTGAGGTCTGGTAAATAAAGGTTTTACTGTACACGATATTATTTATGCAAGGTAAATATGAAACAATTACTAAATTTAAAAAAGAAAACTTCTATTTTTCTTTTTAGGTCACCCTGCCTTGGTGGGATGCAGCCAGTTTATTAAAAAAGAAAAATATGAGACATCAGAACATTATTTTCCTAAGATTTTTTGGGTATTACTCTTGTTAATACAGTAAACCCCTGATTAGAGGAATTGATAAGGGAGTCAAGTGGCTGGTAATGGCAATTGTGGCAAATAGAGATAAAATTTTGCTATGATCATCATATTAATGGACAGTTCTGTAACCACTCAACTTTGTCCATTGTTTGCAAATCATTTAACCTAATGATTTTGTTTCATATTTCCAAAGTTTCTTAAAATGTGGATTTACTGTACATATTTGTTTTTTTTAGGATTGGCTAAAGATTGAGCCGCCTTCCCCACCAAGGAAATTAATGAAATGATGTATGTACTGCAGATTCTTAAATAGGTTAGGAAAATAAAGGCGTTTTGATATTAAATAGTCATTGTTTACAAGCAAAGGTTGTGCTGAAATTATAGGTTTTGTGAAACATTTGAAAGAGATTAAAGTGTGAAAATGAGGTTGTTTATGCATGTATGATGTAAGATTAAGAGCTACCAGATATAATGAGTCAGTCTTGTGACATCATGTCATCAGAATGCCTGAAGTTGCAGGTCTCTCAGAATGGCACTACTGAAATTCTTTAAAGCAATTTGACATGTTCTCTATTGTTAACTTTTACCAGACCGAGCTGTGGGGGCATTGACCCCCGAAACCCTCTCCAGGTAAACTCCAGGTAATCCACAGATATACCTTTGATGAGTTGCTCCTAGAGCCCGGCCATGGGGCAGGCTCATCGTGCATTAAAATATTTTCATCCTTAGCTTATAGTGAGTGGTGAATATATTTATTGTAGGAAGTCTGAATAAGTGAAGAATGGGTATAATTGACAGCCGCTGCATAGCAAAGCGTCATAAAGTGAAGTGCTGTAAAGCAAGGCTTGCCTGTAGTTATATTACTCTCTGATTCTTCTTTATTCCTTCTATTTAGTTAATTCCATTGGTCAACCACTGAGTTTGCAAAGGAAAATCTAGTATACCTTCAGCTCCACTTCTTCCTCAGTTTACAACTGTGGCTTCTTATCCTTGTTATGGGTACTGTAATAAGAGTTTTTCTTTTATTCTCACACTGGGCATCTCCCACCATGGCAGGGTGACCTGTAGAAGAAATGCTTTTACCATCATTCACTATATCTTGCCAAAGGTGCATAGCTACTACAGTTTAGTTGCCCTTCCAAACTGCAAACATTCCAACACCTTTAGAGTGCAGGCACTGTACTTTTCACCTCCAGGACTTGAGTCTGGCTAACCGGTTTGTACGAAGAAATCCCCTCTTAAATTTTCATGTCCTTTTATGACCTTATGTGGTTACCCTGTGTGTTTTTAATGGGAATGTATCTGTTTCTTTTTGTTTATTATTAATATTTTTCCAGGTGAGCAAGGTGTTGCCATTTTCACACTACTATTTTAGCGGGGTCATCGGATCCGGATTGTGCATCTTCTCCCGCACACCAATCACCGAAGTTCACTTTCACAAGTTCACCCTCAATGGCTTCCCTCACAAAATTCAACATGGAGACTGGTGGGGCGGCAAAGGTGTGGCATTGTGTAAAAGTCTGCGCCACGGAATCCCTTTCATCCTAGCAAACACGCATGTAAGTTTAACCTGCACTACTTCCTTGCCTTTCCTCTATACCCCACTAGCACCATGAATGTTACAGTAGCCATGTCCTTTTCTATGATATTTGTTAGCCTTATTGACCTTTTCCTCACATTGAATTTTAATGCATTTTAAATGTACTTTTTTTTATTATTATTATTTATGGTACAGTACATCCCAGAATGGAGAGAATTTCCCTAGAAATGTCCAGCCATCTAGTGATAATTGTACTAATTTTAATTTTGAAAAACATTCACCTACTAAAACTGTAATGTTAAGTTAATGTATGAATTAAATACGTGAGTGTATAGATTCAGTTATTACGAGAATAAACTTTTCTCCTGAGTTATTTTAAACTTAAGTAGCAAGAACAGTTGCAGAAACAAGCAGGCTATATGTTAAGTTTTTCTAACTGGGCGTATCGTATGTTTACTGGCACTAGGGGAACTGAATTCAACCTTCATATACTTTTTTGGTGACCCGAAAAAAAGGAACCACTTTCACTGTCACTCATTCGATCACTTTCTTGACAAAAGTTGCTGATGTCACATTTACAATGACACTGATTGCAACTTCGCATCTTTCAGAGTGCAGGCACTGTACTTCACACCTCCAGGACTCAAATCCTGAAACCCTTTATAAATGTTACTTGCCCACACTTCAGCATGACGTGGTCATAAAATCCACCTGCTCCCCACTCATTCCTATCTTAATGTGCTCTCACAAGGCTGTGGCATGTGCAAGCCACCAGCATTCAAAACCATCCTCACTTCCTCCGATTGTTTCCTGAGATGACCCCTATTGCTCTTTCCCTGGGTGGTAGGTAGTAGGTTGGAAGACAGCAACTGCCTAGGGAGGTATTACTCTCCTGCCAAATGAGTATGAAATGGAAACT